CACTGGGGTTACCTGGAGGGAGACTGGAGGGTGGCCACCATGTTTCCGAAGTAAAAACCTTTTTAGGAATATATAGGAATTGTGCAAATTTGCAGGAAAGCTCAATCAGTCTTTTTTCAGCATTGGCAGTATAAAAACAAAATCGGGGAGTGCGGTAAAATGCCGCCTACCTAATTTTGTTTATACAGAATGCACCTTTTTCGGGGCAATGGGGGGCGTGAGCAAGTTACAAAACTGTTGCGGAAGGCCGCCTTGGTCTGTTTAAACTAAAAGGGTTCCGCCAATATGACTACCCTACGAGGCGGAAAATTGGGCACCTCGGATCAACTCGCTAATCCGGCTCTGTGTGTCTAAACGCTCGCAGCTTGCTGGCAAAGCGTCTCAACATTCGCGGAAAATCTGGCAGTGTAAAAGGGGCTTAAGACACTTTCCGCCATCAGGACGACTTTAACACCGGATATCACTGGTAAAGCCGTCCCTGTGTGTGATGCTGTCTAGCTCCCACTAGACCCGGGTGGCGCACAGTGCAGAGCAGCCGAGGGTAATGTTAGCTAACCAGTGGAGAGTGGAGGGTGGGCAGGGGGCACTATGTTTGTGCATGTTAACGCTGCTAGCCGGCTGTCTATCAGCAAAGCCAACAGAAAACAGAATAAAAAGGCAAAACATTTACATCACAAAACACTGACATTTCCTCACCTGTAAATGGAAAGTGCTTTAAAATGCAGCGCAAAAGCTTAATGAGTTGATGAAGTCATGTCATTATGCATTTGTTTCCAGTTAATATGTGTCGGACTACCAAAAGCAAAATTTACTAAAGCTGACATCCTTACTTCAAATGCAACACAGTGTCTGTTCCTCCTTGACTCTATGCACTCATTCATGCTTTGACACATGTTCTGATTTCTTTTGAGTGTTTATAGTTGTGAGAGGACGAGAACATCCCCCACACTGTCAACTCCTTGAACTTGTACTCAATTTATTTATGAATTTTCAATTCTTTGAGGTCAGACAAAGCACAGCTGAGCCTAAGCAGGTAATGTTGTATTTAGTGTATCTTAAGTTCCGCCAAGTCTAAAAATGGCCTAAAATGAATAAACCCTTTGATTCTTTAAATAACAGCATGGCTTTTCCTCTGGTATCACCAGTGTGTTATTCGGGCCACACATTAGATTTTGTCCCATTAGTGTTAAGAATCTAAAAAGAGCAAAGCTGTATTTCTGTTTTTCATTCAATTTTGTTTTCTGGTTCAGAAAGTATTTTATAAGCCAACCAAAAGTATCAGTCAGTCAGGGATGGACTGGAAAACCAAACACATCTCATGCAAAATCCAGTCTTACTTGTTTTTTAGAGTATATTTAGTGTAATGGTTGTCGGTGACTTAATCTGCAGTGCTCCGTGAAACAAACAAAAACTTGTTGGCAAAGCTTCCAGACTGACAGTGTGTTTTAACTGAATTCCTGCTGTGACTTAAAGACATCTGGTAGCCAGCTTACATGTTTTATTCACACGGTGCGGTGCGGTGTGTGTGTGTGTGTGTGTGTGTGTGTGTGTGTGTAAAACAGAGAGAGACTGGTTGGGTCTCTCATTACCTCCCAGTGAATAGGCAAGTGTAACAGTATCTGTGGGTATAGCTGTACCTCTACGCTCCCTACCTGTCCCTGCAGCTCAGCTGTAACAGTGGAGTAAGCTGATAGTGCATTTAATTGCCTGGTTAGCAGATGACACTCTACTCCTAAGCCCTATATCTCATCAAATTGTGTTGACAGTGGTCAAATGTACACTTGCACATTAAAGTTATAGTTCACCCCCAAATCACAAATACATATTTTTCCTCCTACCTGTAGTGCTGTTTATCAATTTAGATTGTTTTAATATGAGTTGCAGAGTGTTGGAGATATTGGACGTATAGATGCTTGCCTTTTCTTCAATATAATGTAACTAGATGGCACTCGGCTTGTGGTGCTTAACGTGCTAAACAAATACAAAGTCAACAGTAATGTCTCTTTATAGAAATCATGATGGGGTCACTCAAGATAAAACACAGACCTTGAGTGAGCAGTTTCATGTAGGAACTATTTTCTTGCTACTGAACTACACTTACCAACCATATGTTCACACAGGAGGAAGCATGCATCTACTGCTAGCTCACCTAGCGTCCACGAGTAGATGCATTGTTCCATCTGCGCAGTCATACAGTTGGCAGGTGTACTTGGGTAGAAAGAAAGTAGTTCCTACATGAAACTGTTAGTACTGAAAAATAGTACTACAGTTAAGAGGAAAAATATGTATGTTTGATCTTTGGGTGAACTGTACCTTTAAGAAATGTGTATGTACCATGGAAACCACACTAACACACATGTGAATTTTGATATCTTTTCCTATTGTGTGAGACTGTTTGCAGGTGCGTGCTGTGTGCTTTGGAGTGCATTATTCCAACCAGCCCTTCCTTGCTGACAGTCATTTCCCTCATCTTAACACACACACACACACACACACACACACACACACACACACACATTTCCCTTCTCCTTAGCCAGAGGTTATACGCATGTCTCCTCCCATGTGTCCTTTCTCTAAACCTAATGTCTTCCTATGTGACCTTATTCCCCTGTCATGTTTCCTCATCTCCAAACAGCTTGCTTTGGCAGTCAAATGACATGTTTTGATGAAGACACTGCACCTCTGCCTCCCCCTGTCACTGGTTTCTATGATTGTATTTAATCACAGTTTTTTTAGATAGCTAACATACACTGGTCAAAACTGAAATCACAAAACTCTTCAAAACTCTTCTCCCAGTTATTTGGCCGATAAATAGCCATATGCAAAGAAAGAGAAACAAATACAAGGAAATAATAATTTAAGGAAAGGACATGACATCAGTGACAACATTTGAATTTAGGAGCCAGAGTTTGGTGCCACTTCAAAAGTGAATAGGGTGGGCATGGCAAAACACAGCGTAACACTTCATATCTTTGTTGTTTCAACTTTAAATGAAAAGTCTTTCCATCAGATTAAAAATCACATTATGTGATGTTGACTGACCTTTTTTTTATCTAAATGTGGGTGTTTGTTGTCCTTGTTATTGGTCTCCAAACAGATTACAGATCTGACTCAAGCCCCTGCTTGGTCCAGGATAGCTAACATTACATCATGATACATGACCAAACAGGGCAAGGTCTGACTTGTTATTCTGAGCAGACTGCACTCAGATCAGTTCTTATTGGCTCTGATTAAGACCTCCTGAATATAATTAAATATCATTCACAGTTTGAAGTTTTGTTAGTTATTGAAAATCAAAAACATGTACCAGCTAATAGTGTCAGCTATTTTGGACCTAACAGGGGCTTGAGATGCAGCTGCTGGGCAGAGCCATGACCTGCTTGTAGACCAATAACAAGGAAAACAAACACACCCGTTAAGATAAAAAAAACCCACACCAGTCAACACGACGTAATGTGTGTTTTTTATTTTGGTGGAAGAACTTTTCAGTCAGAGGTGAAACAACACAGATATGATTGGTAACAGTGTGATTTGCCACACCCACTTTGTTGACTCCAGTAGAAGAGGCACCAAAGTTTAGCACCAATACAAAATTTGAACTCTGTAACTGGCATTTGTTACATATACTTCACTACATTCAATTAAGTGAAAAGATATTATATGTATTCTATAATGAAATACTGATTTATGAAAAAAAAAAAACATTCAAACTTCAAAGGTAACGTTCATCATTTATGTAATGCTTCTCATTGTTAATGTTTTTTAGGTCGGTGTGTTATGTATGACAATGTATGTTCTCTGAGGGAGAATTGTTGCTAGTGTTATGGTGGAACAAGCTTATTTTGAGATATGTATCAAGTGTTTTGGTGGTTTGAGTGAGTTCTGAAGGTGAGATTAACTGTTTGGCAGAAATTGTTATTGTTAACAATAATTATTGTTATTGTTGTTATTACAGACTGTATGAAGAGTTTTTAGAAAGTAGCGATGAAAAAAACTGTAATTAGAGTTGATAAGAAAATATTAAAAGTGTTTTTGTTTGTCTCGAATTTTCTCTGCCTGTCTGGACAACCAGGTGTGCTGTAGGAGACAGTAGAGGATATGCTGGAATGGAAAGCATTCCCTCCTAGTGGGCTGTTTCTTTCCTGACTCACACGCACACACATACACAGTCTCTTTATCGACAGCAGGGTGTTTCCTGTTGGCTGCTCGCCTATGCACACATACACACACACACACACACAAACATGTAGGTGCATAAGTCTGGGTCAGTTGGTGGTGGACTTTGATTCATTTCTACAAAATGTGCAGCTCTGCTCCCACACACACAGTTTATGTCAGCATACAGCACAGTAAAGAAGCTGCTGTTAGAGGAGCAACTACTAGTTAACATACTCAACATTACATATATATATGTCTTCTTATGTGCTCATTAGTTTGCTGGGGATGATTTGACACTGTGCTGTCCACATGTCACTTATCAGGCAAACAGTTGGGAACGTCCTGTGAATGATCTACCTTCCTTCAAGTTGATGCTTAAAATAATATAGAAATTGTGATATACAAATATCCGGGACACTTTTTAGTCCTGATTTCATATAATATTTACCTTTTTGTAAAACAAAAACAAAAACTGACCAGTACTATTTGTGATTTTAGTTTATCACTGATGTTTAGGCATATACATTTGCCTACAAGCTGCATGAACATCGCAATACAGAAATACCAGTGACAAAGTGGCTCAGAAATTGTTGTATTTTTCTCATTCTCAAATATAGATTTCAGATTTTCAGAGCCAAAAATCTAGTGTCATTCAGGCCACTGGAGAACCCACCTCCATGCTTTTGTTGCCCCCTTTTGGTTTCTAATGGACAGTTTTTAGTGCTTGTCAGTAACACAGCCTTTTGCACAGTTATCATTATGACCATAAAACTGAAAAGGTATTTGATCTTTTTCTCTCTATACCCCACTCCTCCCCACCAACCCCATCTTCTCTGCTACAGGAGAGCTTACAGCAGTTGATAGTCATGCCCCTTCCTAACATCCTCTGCATCGCCAAGGATCCGCTGTCAGGTAACACACACTCCCACACATCCTTCACCCTGTCACTCATCAAGTCCTACATATTTGCACGGCCTCCTTGTGTGTGCTTTCATAGAAATGTATTTACACACATGTATCTGCCTGGGGCACATGATTGGGTGATTAGATCCTTTATTGATTTTTGTTCAGTTCTGAATTTAATAATGTAGTGATTGATGAATATTGATAAAGACTATTTATGATGATATTTTTAATTGATCTCACTGCATGTACTTTATATACTCATCTGAGGGCTGCATGACTGTGGTCAATGTGATAATCATGATTATTTTGATCAATACCGCAATCACAATTATTTATCGTGATTATTCATTGTTTTTAGAGACAACTATTTTTATTGCACCTTCACTTTTAAATTAACAGAGTACTGCTGTCACTTCTGTGTTGTGCTGCATTCCTTCTAATGTACAAAGTATCAAAATAACACACTCCTAAAAGCAGATTAGCCAAAATAAAATTAGACATTAGACAAAACCTTTCACCCAAAATCAAATCAACAGTGCACTATTTTTACTTTTGTGTCATGCTATATTCCTGATAATTAACAAATCTTTGCATCAAAATAAAACTTGTGCCTGAGTATAGTTTAACTAAAATAAATAGGCCATTACAGTATACAGCTGAATGAAAGTATTAGTTGGGTGCATATTTTTGGCCAAATAGCATGCGATTGCATTGATTATTTCAGTCTGTCTTTGGAAGTGGATGGATATATGTCCACCACTTTTTTTCCAGTTATGGTATCATGACAGTGCAGTATAGTAACAGTACAGTGGGACTGTTATGGATGTATGTGTTGATGACGGTCAAGGACAGGGATTCAGTGAGGTAACGTTAGCATTGTTGTTCTTCGTGACCTTCATGCATTCATCATCCTGCTTATTGTGCAGCTTTTCAGGTGGTTAGTTGTGTTGCTTTGCTGTGCAGACACAAGTCTCATGTACTCTTCGCACATGATCTGTTCTCTCCTAAATCCCAAAAAGTCCAAACGTTGAATGGTGGTGGTTGATGAAAGGATAATTTTTGTTTTGCCTGTCTGCAGTTGCAACTTTCAGTAAAAGTTTTTCAGAGGCTGCTGCTGCAGGGTGCACTGCATGCACAGCAGCATGACAGCTCTTCAAAAGTGGAGGCTGGCTATTAGTTTAGGGAGCACTTGATTTTATATGCAGTTTTCTATGAGTGGAGCATGCATTTTATAAGTCTGTATCGCAGCTGATTATTAAATTGTGGGAAGCCAAAATCGTGGACATTAATATTCGATTTATTGCAGCCCTAACTCATCTGCAAAGCATATATTTTAACATCAGTGAGGTTTTCCTGTTTAAATAAAGGTGAACAGAAGAAATGTGTGATACAGGCTGTTGGCAGCAACAGAAACATGATAATCTGAGTGAGCAATCTGCTCTGTTAAACGATGCAAACTAAGGTGCAAGGTAGTTGTAGGTAATTATATGTGTTTTGGGGCGTAACATGAATTCAACGAATCAGTGTTCTCTCCTCTTGTCTTTAAAAGCCAGGTCAGTAGTAGTAGTGCACAGATCCTGTTGATATTGACTGCATCTTTGCTGAGTTCCAAACTGTGCTGTTGTAGGGCTGGGCGATATAACGACTATGCACAATATATCGATATAATTTCAAGCAAGATATAGATGTAGACAATACCGTTTATATCGATATAAGGTCAACTTGCGTTAGGTAACGGATGCCAGTGTGCATCTCTGCTCTGTCACACTCCCTGCACAGCTCCTCTCCACTCACTCACAAGTTCTCCAGCAACACTCAGAGACACATAGAGCTGCTTTTGTGTTTAATCTGTCTGTTGGTGAGTCTACAGTGTCACATCGGTCTATATGTTGCACATGCTACGCAGTCTGTGAGATGAATGTAATGACCACAGTAGCACACATGCAATACAGCGCTGTGCTGCATGTGTGGGCGACAGAGCTGCTTGATTGTGTCAGGTGAGCGTTTGTTTGCTAGTTTGTATGTGAGTTGGATTATAGCGCATCGCTGTTCTTCTTGGTAGCTGTAGTCTAATGTGTAACATTGAGACAGTGACTGGATGCAGGCAACAGGTGGGTTTTAAAAAAAATGCAGCCATCAACAGACATTTCATATACAAGTCCTACATAACACGGACAGTGTCCCTCGCCCCTTCGGCCTCTCTGTTGATGCTATGTACATAAATAAGAATAATAGCCTAAAGAAATAAGAATATTTAAATCATTTTCCACCACTAGTTTCATTTGACAGGCCATGGAAAACAACTTTTCAACTCCCCCTACAAAGGTTTTGAATTGTTTCAAACTACAATGGATTTAGGCCAACTGGATTACAAACTCCTGTTAAAGTGAACGTACAGCCCTGTTATTTATTGTATATCATTTTTTATTTACTCATTGTGCAGCTGTATATTTTCAAACAGGGAAAACAAATCCCTGTCTTTGCATTTATTTTGATCACGGTCTGTTTTAATAAACAAATGTGGCTTTGACTTGCAAATGAACATGTCGCCCATTTCGTAGAAAATACAGTGATAAATTTTTGTCCATATCACCCAGCCCTACGCTGTTGGTGTTATATTGAATAACAACAGAGTGTGTGTAGTGAGCAGTGTGAGCTTGGCTGTAGCATAGTAAACTGTAACACTGCCTGAGGTGAAGAACAGCATTCAGAGACATGCTGTGTGACTTTTACTTAACTTTTCTCTTAAAGTGACCTTTGATATGTATGATAGTTGCTTTGATTTGGAGTACTTTGTGCTCTGTACTCTTCTCCACAATGTATTTAATGTTAGTGTGTATTCTGACATCCAGTGTGTCTCTGTGTTGTTGTTTTTTCAGCAAAGAGCATGGAGGAGCTGAAAAGACTTTTGTTGCTGATATTAGGCTGTGCTGTCCAGGTAACAACACACACACTCCCAAACGCCCAAACAGAGCAGCTCTACTGTACCACCCAGTCTCAGCAGGAAGTGTATTTGTCTGTTTAGTTTTGCATGTCTGAGCACAGCTGTTCATTGTGCCTGCTGATAAGCTGCAGGGTGGGACTGCAGGATCCAAATGCACGTGGAGTTACATCAGTGCTTTGTATACAGTAATAACCATTATGGTTCTATATAATAAACATGTTAGGTATTAGTCAGCACAGTTTGAAGGTTTAAGAGCCTTGCTTGAGGGCACTGTAATTATACAGATGTTTTTGTACACATGAGTAAATATTTGTATAAGTTATTAAGTGAACAAGTTTGGAAGTGTAAAGAATCTGTTTTAAGATCTATTCTTTTCAAATTCATTCAATTTAAGAATCAGCCAGATATGGCGAGGAAAGAGTTAATTGGGTTACCTGTGATTAAAGAGGAGGGGCTATTCATGTGGGAAGTGGGGGCGCAGGTGCTTTCTCTGTCTGTGTGTTTGTTTGTTCAGCTCTTTGTTGTCTCTCGTTTCCACCTCTCCCTGTGGCTCTGAACCCCACAGCTGTTTTTTTTCATTAGCCTTTTTCTCAGTTTCTTATTTTTGCATGTGGCTGTTTTGTTTCTCCCTTCATCACTCCCTTCTTCCTAATTTCCCTCCCTTCCTTTCAGCCTTCCCTCCTTTTGTGTCCCTCCCTACCTATACTGGTTCTACTGGTTCCAGGAAAAGGCCCAGGAGGGAGCGATGAATGGAGAGACAGAGGGAGGGAGGGAGGGAGGGAGGGAGGGAGGGAGGGGTGGATAAAGCCACATGAAAAACACTCTTCCAACCAGCAGGGGTCAAATAAACATTTGCCAAAAAAAACTTGCATTCTTCATCATACTACATTTCCCATGGTTCTGTTCTGCTTGACACCAGTGTAACAGCAGCATTGGCCCTTCTTACACAGAGATTGTTAGGGCCGCTACAGAGTCTCGTCTTTATGCTGCCTTTGCATTTTTTCACAGAACCAAACCGTGGGGACATCACGCCACCTCAGTGTGTGATTTAGATAGCGCCAGCCCCTAGTGTGACATATGAAATACACATCAGCAGCGCTTTATAAACAATAACAATGGTATTAAAATGGCAATAACAATTATTTATTGATCTCATCCTCTGCTCTGAGGTTAAGGTGCTCCTGAACCTCCTTGCTTTCCCAGTTTCCAGACATTTTCGGCTGCTGTTTTTCCGTCTTCGAGTTAGCTAGTAACTGCTTCTAGCTGCTTTTTGAATGTTTCACTTTGGGTCGCACCCACAGTATCATGTCACAACTGCCCCGCTGATGATCCCGTCCTGCCAGCTGTCCCTTTTACACAGTCATTATTTCCATACTGTTACAACTTTCCTGCCAGCTTAAAGGCAAGACATCTCTGTCCCCCTACTCTGGGATTGTGTCTTTTACACAGAACACAGAGGCAGCCTTGAAACAGGGGGTGTAAAGGGGCTATGGAGAAACATTAACAACCACAATTTTATTCAAATTTTTTTGTGTATGTGTGTGTGTGTGTGTGTCTCAGTGTGAGCGTAAAGAGGAGATGATAGAGAAGATCAAGCTGCTGGACATTGAGACCCAAGCTGCCATCGTCTCTCACATTCAGGAGGTCAGTAGAGCACAGTTCTATGATTGGAACATGACAGTGATAAACGTAGATCACAAGTTCAGAAATTTGTCGTGGTGTTCTCCGAACCTAACTGAAATCATTGCTAAACATGAATCATGATGACAAGCAGAAAATTGAACAGCTATAGTCTCAACTCAAGGTCCACATGACTTCCTCTGGGGCTTTTGACCACATTTCAGTCTTCATTACTATATGAAGTTGGCTCAGTTGTCAATATTTGACATAAATACCCACAATACTTGTAAGTAGTCACATGATAAGAGGTGGTTATGTATTGGGGAGACCTGTGTATCTGTTCAGAGATGGTCTGTGGTGTCCCCTTTTTAGCTTTTTCTAAACATTTACTGACGAAGGGGGCAGGAGCATAAAACTGTAGAATCATGACTCAAACTTTGTGTATACACAATACCGAAGTATGCATATGCATTTTTTTTTCATCAGAAATATGAAGCATTGTGCACGCATGTATCTGTTTTATAAATCTCAGTCATTGTGGAGCTGTGCACACTTGCACAAGCCTTATTTCTACTCCATCAGGGAGCTGTAAGTGATGTAGACACACCCTTTAATCATCTTGTCCATATCAATACTTGTGCCTGCTCCACTTATGTTAAAGGAATGGTTCAGATGTTTTGGAGTGGGGTTTTAGGAGGTATTTATCCATAATCAGTGTTACCCATAGCACTGCCTGCTTGGAGAAGCAGGCAGGAGCACTGCCACGGAAGCTAGGCAGTGTACTGCTGTGGACGAGGGCAGCAGCAAAACAAATGTTAGCCACCTAAAAACATCAGTATTGGTTCAAGTGTATGCTATATTTGAATTATTTTTGCCACTTTACCTTGCTGTCAGACAGCAGTTTCCAACGAGGAACTGAAGTTGTTATTTCACTCTTTTCAAAGCCAGAGTACATTCTAGTGTTGTCACGGTACCAAAATTGGGACCCACGGTACGATACCAGTGAAAGTATCATGGTTCTGGGTAGTATCACGATACCACAGCAAAAATTAGGCAGATGTGCCTTGTGTCATTTATTAATAGATAAATCACTTTTCTATAATACATCAATGATATTTCAATGGAATAAATTACTTATTGACTTATTCATACTTCAAAAACAGCATCAATAAGTGATTAACATAGGGGGGATCAAAATAAAATAAATAAATGAAATAAAAATCAACCAGCCACCCTCCTCCCCTGACAAGTAAAGAACAGTCCCTTAAGGGCAGTGAGGTTTGTGGACCGTTACCTGCCACAAAGAGAGAAATGTGAACGGCTCGTTTCTCCTCTGACACGTCACATACCTGTGTGCCGCCACGGTTCGGCTGTTCAGGTATTTCTGGGCAGTTATAACACCAACAAAGACTTATTGGACCTGGAGCCGGGCTTCTCGGTCGCCGGTAAGCCGTTATCTTGCGCCGCGGAGCACTATGGCTGCCGTATTTGACAGGAATATGTATTCCTGTCTGTGTCTGTGTCCCCCGTTCAACCCACAACTGGCAGGATTTGCCTTTCGTTTCTGCTGCTGGTTGAAATCTGTACTCGCACAGCATGCTCCTGAATGATTTCTTTTGCTCGCACAAAACTATTTTTAGTCGCAAATGCGAGTAAAGTGCTCACACCGTAGTGCTCTGGAAAACAAATCACTGTAGCATATATCAACAAATCTAGCCTACACTGCACTACCACTGTAGCAGCATATTGAGTGCCAGGTGGCCAGCGTGCGCCGTTATTGAACAGTGCATGGACACTCACTCTCTTGTGATTGGACTTTGAACTTATCCCACAGTAGTGGTTCCGTGAGGTACCGTAGTACTATGGTACTCCAACATTATGGTATCATATGTACCGTGGTGTTTTAGTACCGCGGTCTACCGTTGGTACCAGTATACCGTGCAACACTAGTACATTCACAAAAACAGTAATTTTATCTCGCAGAACACAGAAGGTCTGCCACTGCCTTGATCGGTTTGTTTGTGTCACTGTGTGAGTGTAGTGTTTTAAAGGGTTACTTTCGATTCACTAAAGTCACACGACAACACATACAAACAAACTGATGGAGGCAGCGCCAGCAGCGCCTGTGCTCAGCAAGCTAAAATTTCTGTTCTGGTCTGTGGAGTCTGGTAGCTTTGAAGAGAGAAACTTGGACTCATGGAAATTGTGACAAGCATTTTAACTATTTTTTTGACATTTTATGGACTAAATAATTAATAATAATCAATTATTTAAGAAAATAGAGAGATTAAATGAAAATTAAAATAATTGTTAGCTGTTGCCCTAAAATGGTGAGCATTGTATTATCTCCATGCAGCATGAAACATGTCCAACATCAGCTGACATCACAGAACAACAACTGCTAGATCAGCAGAAATCAATTTAAAGACTCATTTGTCATTCATTTTATCAATGTGATGTTCGTTATATAGCTCTGTTCTATTTTCAGACAGTTTGCTCAGTTACTTTATATATCCATATCAGGTCGGCCCTTTACTTCTGAGACAGGCTGTTATTTGTTTGATTACTTGTATGATGAGGTCATGCTAATGATGTTACCATGCTAGTTAACCTCTCCAGCCCAAGGGACACTTTGGAGAGTGTGTCATTACTTGCTGTGTGGACAAGCATTGTTCAGGTTGTTTTAAAGTCCTGTTGAAATCCTGAGGTTGAAGAGGGAAGCCAAATTATAGCAGTAAGAAGTGTGAAAAATTGTCAAGTTTTATATAAAAATTCTTAACAGTAGATATAATAAAGCACTAGAATGAGCGCTCAATGTTTTTATGTGCGAGGAGGAAGCCACTTTACACTGTACTACTGTATCCAGCTTAACTTATGCTGCATTTTGTAACATTATTTTGTGTGTTGCAGGTGACCCATAATCAGCTGAATGTTCTTGACCTGTCCTGGATGGAGGAAGGATCAGAGCTCCCACACGAAGATCTGGAACCGCTGTCCCGCAACATGGCTGCATCGCTACAGCAACTGATTGACCAGAGAGACAAAGCCAGTGAGGTACTGAGACACACAAGCACACGCGCACACACACACACACACACACACACACACACACACACACAAACGACTGCCAGGCTGATATTAGTATTTTACTGTATTAATAATGACAAGAGTATGAATACAATTATAATATCCATTGACCCCTGTAGACCCACCACAGAACAAGTTTTGTCTTTCGGGGGGGGGGGGGCAAGGATAACAGTATATGCCATGTAGGAGTGGTAAGTGTAAGTGCATGTGAAAGCTGAGAACCTGAAGACTATTTTGAGGTGCAGCTCAGCACTGTGTGTCAGGGTTGTCAAGTCATAAATCTGTAATAAACACTGTGTTTTGGTTAGGCACCTATTCAAACTTTAAAGTTTAGAGTGTATAGGGGCTTAGAACATTATGACGGAAGTATTTGATTGCCATACCATGCTCAATTATGTTTCTTAGGTTGCTGCAGCATACCATTTGTTACACAGATTTGGGTCTAAATTTAAGCATTTTTGAACATTGCAGAATTGAAAAAAAAAGGCCAAAAATCCCTCAAAAATACCCCTGGAACACCACAGAAAAATCCATGATCTGATTTGGTATCCACAACTTCTGACATGAAGAGATTTCTGTAAGAATTGCATTTTTTGCCGATTGGATGGCAAGCTCCTCTGTTCTGCTGAGAAACATCATTATTGTCAGTGTACCTATGAAAGCCAAACATCTCTGAATGCCCGAGGTCTCTAGTTTTGTGCTTGTGAAGTTTCATGAGGCTGTGATTATCCTAGAGGTCAACCAGAGGTTTAGAACAGGCAAAAATAACAGATTTATACTGCATGCAAAAAGCTGCTTGGTTTTTGCCAAAAACTGCATAGGGCTAGCAAAAAGAGGGCATTTCTGAAGAGGGGAGACTCAGTAGTACCCATAGAACCCATTTTCATTTATCTTGAGGTGAGAATTCAAGGGACCCCTTTGAAAATGGCCATTCCACTTTTTTTCTTGCCAAACTTTTGCCCAAAATTAGAGCTTTATATAGCCCCTTTCCCAACAAGATAGCATGACATAGTTGATACCAATGGGTACCTTAGGTTGTCTCAATTTTACATGATCACTACCTTCGTGTAGCCTCTTCAAGACAGTGATGTTGGCTGGGATTGCCAGCGCTCTCACTGCTCTCAGAGGTTTTAATATCAAAGACCAGTCATTGTCGTCTACTTCTTTTGAGATGGATATGATGCAGGTAGTTTGGTTATTGTGATTTAAGTCCACTTTGCAGTGTGAAATGGTGTAATGCTGTTGTAGCGCAGTGGTTCCCTACTGGTCCAGTCACAGGGTCCAGATTCTATCTTAGTCACTGGTTCAAGGTCCACACAGTTAAACATATTCAGAATCATACTTGCATTTGGCCATGTCGTCAAGCTAGTTTGCTGTCTCTGACAAGTAGCTGTCTGTTCTCTCACTCATTTTATAGCAGGAAACAACACTTCAAAATAAGAGCTTTGTTCCAGAAAGTCACCATACCAAAATAAAATGTGCTTTTTACAAACTTGACACATTCGCGAGTCACTCGCGACCCACCTTTGGACTGTGACCTTGTTTGGGAACCACTGTTTTAGAGGATTTTCCACTTGGACACACTGTTGAATACTTTTATGTTGGGAAATGGGTCACATTTAAAGACGACAGTGGGCAGAAGTCTGCTAGTAGCGCTATTTCAGTGGGAATTTAGCAAAAACACTTCTATCTTCCAGGTGATTGTTGATCTGACCCAGGAGAGGGACTACCTGTCCAGTCAACAGCTGCAGGAGGGGTGCAGAAACCTGGGCCTGAGCAGCCCTGAGCGTGGGCAGAGTGCTGGAGGTGTGGGAGTGAATAACGGTGGATCGGCTGTGACGGTGTCTGGACTGACCAAAGAGGAGAAGCAGCATCTGTCCGTGGAGCTCGCTGATACCAAGGCTAAGCTCCGCAGATACAGACAGGAACTGTGAGTCTCAGTCACACAAGAAAGTCAATTACTACATATTGATAACCTAAACACAAACTGTTAAATCAGTACAAGCCGCTGTAACAATTTTACATTAACACTGGATCACATGACTGCTTGTAATGTGAAAGGTGTCACTCACAGTGACAAGCCACAGAAGCAAATCTTAATGTGGCTAAAGCAGCAGCTCACTGCACACGGTTTCTGTGGGTATCACTGGTTTTATGCTAAACTGTGGTGATACAAGCAGCAGCTGGAAGTCATTATATATCCAACAGAGCTTATTATGCTGTCTAGTTCTGATAGATATACAATGTAATCACATACAGAATCCATCTATTTACAGATAAACTATACACTCCCACTTTACACACAGCAACTGAAGTTGTTCTGCAGAATATACTGTCTGGATTCTTTTACTGGCCTATATTAAAGACTTACAGTGAGACAAGTCTGCTGTGTGTTTCTCGAGAGGCGTTACTGTCAGCTGTCAAACTCTTTAATTACTATCAACTGTCCAGACATTACCAGGGTGTGGGGCTGATTATACAACTTGATGGATTGTAAAAAAAAAAAAATGTCATGGACGCTAATTTTTTATTTTTGCATGCGTGTGTGTGTCTTTGCAGGGAGGAGAAGACAGAGCAGCTGATGGATTCTAAACATGAAGTAGAGCGACTGGATCAGGAGTTACAGAAACAGAAACAAGAGGTCAGGACCTGTTTGTAATCAGTAGTGTCACATCTGTATGACTAGAGGAAAATTGTGGGGTCAGAAAAACAGACAGATGAAAAGCAATTTGGACTGAATGGTTTATGTCTCAGGTGGGGGATGCACCACACAAATTTTATATAGATTCTATACCAGCATTGATAAGTGAGTTAATTGTATTAGGAATGGTACAGTGAAGTTAGGTGAGTTTTTTTATACTGATTCAGTGTCTGTTTTTACTTGCCTACATAACACATTTAACCTAAATCAGACCTATATGGAAGTTTGTACCAGGTCCCCACCTGAAACAAACTACACAAGTTCAAATGCAGTTTTTATGTAACCACAGGATTTAAGGGTTGTTTTTGTTTTTTGAAGGTGAACAACTTCAGTAATGAAAATGTATATGTATTATTCTGGAGGCTTTATAACATCATGGAAAAAAAATACTGCAGCCTGCTCATGTACATGCAGCCACTTGGTGGTAGTGTCATCACAGTAAACAGTAACTGCCTGCCAGTAGCGATATGAATTGGGTATAGAATGTCAACAAAATTTGCAATTTAAAAACAAGTTAAATGCAATTTGAATAACAATGAACACTGTTGTGACATTTTGGTTGCCTAAACAAGCCTTGTTCAGCATTAGGTTGTACTAAAAAACCCTCTAAGGAGTTGGATATTCAATTTTTCCAGTCAGTAAATTTTGTTTTAATGGTTTTAAGCCTATTATTTGCAAGCGGAAATTAGCATTAGCATTATCACTGTTAACCATAGCCTTTAATGCAACATGCTAACCAAGCTAGCAGCTAATGTTAGGGTTAGCTCGACCCTCTCATCCAAATATGGACAATTCTGGCTCAAAAAATCCAACATGGCGACATCCAAAATGCCAAACTTGAGGCTTCAAAACGGGAGTTAACAAACATCCATCATCCATTGATGACATGACGTCACAGTTGCTAATACGTGTGACGTCCACTATTTTATACAGTATGTTGTGTATGAGCAGGTTGCAGTATTTTTTCTGTTTCATATCACCTCCAGAATAATTTTTTTTTTTTTTTTAAACAGCCTTTGTTTCCATTTAAGGCAAACCATATCTGCTTACCTCACTTGCTGAATTACACTGCCAATGTGATTATCTCCAAGTCAAACAGCTGGCTGCTGTTTATTTTTTTGTCAGTACAGCCTTGACAGGCGACAGGTCTCAGCACAGCAAGTAACAGCACACAAACATCAGAAATAGAATGTAGTTAAAACAATTAATGCTGATCTATTTATATGACTTTATCATACCTGTTACAATCCTGTTGATTTGCTTCAAACAGTTTGGTTCTTATTGCACCACAGTGGCCTGTTACCTGTTACTAAAGGAAGTGTAGTAATAATAGTTTTATTGGTTGGTAGAATAAACAAGTGTTAACACAGGTCTTTTTTTTTTTTTATCTAAGCTAAAATGCTGAAATTGTTTTGTAGAAGTTCAATTCAATTATATTGTCATTATAGTATTTACTGTGTAAATCAGCCAAATCCCTGTCCTGCCTATGTGTGATAATGGTTACACAAAATTATTTAAACAAATTAAGTTAATGTAAATTCATATTAATTTGTGTGGTTCAGAACCAGTCGCTGTCTTGTGAGGCTCGTTCGGTCAGAGTGTACCGGGACGAGGTGGACTCACTGAGGGAAAAAGCAGCGCGGGTCGACCGACTGGAGACTGAACTGACCAGATGCAAAGAAAAACTCAATGATGTTCACTTCTACAAGACCAGAGTGGAGGTACCAACACAGCTTCACTCGACACATCAGTACACCATCAGATTCACCTCCTCTGTCTGTAGATACTATGAGACATTATGGCCCTACATTGGATCTGTGAAGGTTCACTGATACATATTTATTTTCATGTTGCACTGCTTTTCATAGTTTTAGTATATTTTCATAAAGTCATACACTGTCATAATTGTCAGTGATGATATGTTCTACTTCATGTTGTACTTAATGTCTTGTTATAAATATTTTGACCTAATATGTTCTTCTGTTAAGTGTTCTGTTTAATACTCATTTACTGCTGTAGTTGATATACCAGGTTGACTTAAAACTGTATGATGTACATGGACACTTCATACAGAATCCTAATCTCTAATTTGCATGGATGTGATTAGTGTTATTGAAATGCATAAACCTTTCAGCTGACAGAGAAGACATGAACACACAATGCAGCCACACTTACTCAGCAGCTGGCACTGGCAGCCCTCTCACTGTGTGTGCGTGTGTGTTTGTGTGTGTGGGGTCATTCAGGATCTTCGTGAGGACAACCTGACTCTCATGGAGACAAAGGTGCTGTTGGAGGAGCAGCTCTCAGCCTCCAGGGGGCGTTGTGATAAACTACACACGTTGGAGAAAGACAACTTATTACTTCGAGCTAAAATACATGACCTGGAAATGGTATTACACTACAGCATTATCAAGAGTTTATCAGTCTAAACGCCGTGTATCAGATATTTTAGGTTAGGTTTGCTGGTTTACTAATCGTGTGTGTGTTGTGCAGGAGAGGGACAATGAGCGTCGGAGGTTGGAAGAGCTGGTAGAAGAGAACATGCTGCTGGAGATTGGACAGAAACAGAGTATGAACGAGTCAGCTCATCTGGGCTGGGAGCTGGAACAGCTGACCAAGAACCATGACAACACTAACACAGAGAGTAAGACATGCACTTTGTTTTCTCTTCTGTTATACCCTGTTCTATGTCTGAGTCCAGAAATGTCGGTCTCTATATTTGTCCAAGCTGAAGTATTTTTCTGTGCTGCAGCTCGTAAGTCGTTAGTCCATGAGCTGAACGAGTGTGTTTCCAGTCGGGTGTTGAAGCTGGAGAAGGAGAACCGGGAGCTTCAGGCCTCTATAGAGAGACTGAAAGAGGAGAACCACCTCATGCAGGAGCAGCAGCTCCACACCCAGGAGCTGGACAGGGAGAACCAAAGCCTCAGCAAGAAGGTAGGAGGCCTGAGTATAACAGGGAAGAACTGATCATGTTCCATGACTTGTTACTCATTTGTATGATACTAATAACTTGTTTGTTTGTTAGTTGGACCGGCTCCAGGGTTTATTGGACCAGGAGAGACTGACCAATCAGGACATGGAGTCGCTGGGAGAAGAAATATTGAAGGAAAAGCAGAGTCTGGAGAGAGAACTGCACACTCTTAAGGCTGAGAAAGACAGACAGGTAGTTAAATGTACAACATGTTATTTTCTGCCATGAGGTATCTCTCAATCAAAACAGTAAGAACAATAAGACGGTTAGGATTCTTTCAGTGTTCATATATAGGAGGTTTCTACCAGGAGCTGAATTATCTTCAGAGGTCTCCTCCTCTCCTGGGCCCAGTTGTTTAGAAGTAATCTGATCGCATTTCAGCTATCAGATTGGATCAAATCTTGAATATGGGTTGTTAAAAAGGAAAAAAGGAAATTATATTAGATCATGTAATTCAATCTTGGTTTGTATCCAGATCAAGTTTTCAGTTTGTGTTGTTCAAAACCTTTTGGTATAATTGGAATACCTTTGATCCAAAAAATCAGGATTATCCTGATCCCAGCTGAAAGATGGATTCAGGGTGAATTTCAGGAACAAATTGGAATAAAACTTTTAAATTGCTCAAATATATATGCATCTATCTATACTTTGCACTTGATTTGTTCGACAGTTACTGTGATAAAATGGATGAAGTGGATATCAGGCTACCTGTTAAGCTTCTCAGTGCAGTAAAGTTAAAAAAAGGATGATGTCCTCATAAAATGTCAGTATCAAACAAAACATGCCTACATTGTCATATGTAGTCCCATTTAGAGCACTGGTTATCCAGATTTGCCAATTTTAAAACATTTGCACCTGGATCAGGTTCATCCAATCCACTCAGCACAAAGGTAAGATGGATTGTATGATCCTGGACAGCAAAAGGTGGTATTTCCAAGTCTGGATCATTTTGATCCAGATAAAAGTTTTTCAACAATCATGGTGATTAACGGCAGTAAAAAAAAACGATAAAGCAGTCTCATAGCAGTTTTTTAAAGCAGTTTTTTGGTGGAGCTTCTTGCCCAGCACCTGCTAATGTGTGCTCACATTTTTTCTCGGATAACTCCTCCTCTCCAAAGCAAACACACCCAGTGACTTCGGCCAGTTAAAACACTCAATAAACCACTTGTAAAGCAGTAAAAAAAAAAAAATCAGTGTTTCTCCAATGCTTTTCAGCACAGCAGGGGTTAGAGCCAAGCTACTGCTAACATTAGCTCAGCATATTTCTCTGCTAATTTAGGATCCAGATGTCTAAGACTAAAATACTTCACTCAGTAAAAACGTATAGTTAAAAAATGACCAAAACCTTAAAAGTGTATAGCAGGGCTATTCAACTATAATCTCAAGTAGGCCAGATTTTAAAACCAGAAAATGTTGTTTGGCCAGACATTTTCAGCAGCAAGCAACCCACTGACAATTTTAAAAAAAAATTTTTTTAGCTTTTTGTAATGACAAATTTTTAACAAATGTAAATTGACACAGTAAAAGTAGTAATGTTTATCATTTCACATTTGAAATAAAAACAAAAAAACAAAAAACAAAACAAAACAAAAAAAATTGTTGGATATCTGACCAAGGAACATTAGTATTGCAGAAACAGAATAAAAACAGCGGTGAATGAGAGACTGTGGACAGAGCAGATTGAAAGAATGCTATCCACTTGCTGAACATTGATAAAGTAGTCTATCAGCTCTTTACTGATGAAGGTTTTATTGCACTTACCTACAGTAACAAGCGTAGTTGTTGTAAACTAGAGTAATCTTTAAGTTATATTCTGTTCATCTGCACTGCAGCCTCTCAGCTGTTCTCTGACCTCACACTGCTGTGTGAGGGAGGTCACCCCCGACATTCTGACAGCAAGAGAGAGGGTGCAGCATGATGATACATGAAACCAAAATTTTGTAAAGTAACGATGAAAGAGTCGATAATGTTGGAGCTTATTAATACTGTGGTCTTAATTCATTTTGCCCCGGGCAATTTAATACCAGGTTTCAGTACTCATTCCTAGCCGGGCCACTTGGAGGCTGCTTCTGGGCCAGATGTGCACAAAGGAACGCCACTGACAGGCGATGGCAACCAGATCACCAGACCACAAACAGTGTCCTGGATTAAAATGACAGATTCCTCTGGGTTTTAACATTGTTGGAAACATTTGGATAATGCAGAGCACACAACCCAACAATATATACAACATAGGTCTCACTGTTTTTAGATATTTAAGGCAAAAAAGTTACATATTATATCTTTGACACACACACTTGGGTAAGACATTGTTAATGTTCATTATAAGACAAAGAAAAATGCATCCTTTGTTCACACTGTATCCGGCTCATCCTGTCTAACAGATCTCAGAGCTGGAGAGTGAGAAGCAGCACCTCTCTGATGCTGTGGCGTCTCTACAAGAGCGCGCTCAGTCAAACAGCGAGGCAAGGGTCCGTGAGGTGGAAACAGAGAACCGTCTGCTGCACCAGAACATCACTGACACCAGCTCCCGATTGGCCAGCTTAGAGACACAACTCAAATTAGCCAGTGAGGATGCAGAGAGGCTGAGGGAAAGGGCAGGGCGGTGTGAAGAGGTGGAGCGAGAGGTGGCGAGGCTGGAGAGGAGCAGGGATGCTCTGAACAGAGAGGTAATAATAATAACAGTATATTAAATATACATCTTATGTAGAATGTATTCTTAAAAGCTAAATGAATTGATACAGAAATCATGGGACCAACATCTGTATTTTGCTTCCAGGTGGCTTCTCTGCGTGCATGCAGCGAGCGGTCAGAGACTCTAGAAAAGCAGGTGTCCTCCCTGGAGCAGGAGGTGCACAGGCTGAAACGGGAGGCAGAGGAGGCCCAGCGGGAGCAGCAGCGACTGGAAAAGTATGAGGCAGAAAACAGCCTAATGTCAAAGGAGAACCTGGACCTGCGCTGCTCCCTGGAAAACCTGCGCTCCTCATCCGCCCGCCTGGCCACCCTCCAGGAGGAGCACAAAGAGGCACAGAGAGAGACACAGGATCTGCAGAGGACGCTGGAAGAGGCCAGGGAGGAGGCACAAGGAGAGAGGAAGAAGGTAGAGAGGCTGGAGCTGAACTTGGCAGCTTTGAACCAGGAGAAACATCGCTTAGAGGAGGAAATACAGAAGAGCAAAGAGGAGAGGGAGGAGGAAGAGAGAGAGAAGCAGGAGACTCAGGCCAGAGAGGAGGAGCTGAGAAGAGAAGTGGAAGAACTGAAGGAGGAGCGGAAAAGGAGAGAGGAAGTTGAGGAGGAGAGGAGGAAGCTCCAGCTGGACTTGGAGCAGTCAGAGAAGGGCAGGAAACACCTGGAGAAGGAGAGCTGGAGGATCAGAACCCAGCTTGAGGGTAAAGAGACAGAATTGGAGGAGAAAGCCAGGCGATTGGCTACAAAGCAGAAAGAGGGCGTGGCTCTGAGTAAGGAAGTTGATAGACTGAAGGAAGTGTCAGTCAAAGCCAAGGAGTTGGAGAGGGAGAACAAGGAGCTGCAGAAACAGGCAACGATTGACAAGAGGACTCTGGCCACTCTGAGAGAGGTGAGAGGAAAAATGGTGTTTGAATTTGAACTTAGCAAATTCCATCTCATGAGGATGCATACCTCCAGGACAGTGAAAAAGTGAGCTAACAATCAAAATTAAATAGTACTGATCCATATGCCCTATGTCAGGTTTTCAATACAAGACTAATATTGGCCCAACACCTACAGTTTGCATTGTTCATGTCTTTATTAACAAGTTTTGCATCCATAGGCAACGTGACAAGATTTTGTTATCAGAATTAGCAGTACTGACCAAACACATTTGAGCTTCAGGTAACTAGGGTTGCAGTGGTAAAGATTTTCACAGCACAATAACCGTCTCAGAAAATTTAGTGGCCTCACAGTATTACAGGATTATTATTATTATTATCATCAATTAGAATGATCCTTAAAGGACAGAAAAGGAAGTGTCATTTATGGTCGAATAAAGGTTTATAACTATAAGTGACACTTGAAATCATTTTTATAGAGGTATGTATAAAAAGTCTCCCTTTTGAAAATAACTAAAATAAAGGGGGATTCTCCATCCGGTTGTATTTTTTTTTTTTTTTTTAATATCCTAGATAATAAATATACAAGGTATGATAACTGTCTGTTCAGGTTTATTGCTGCAACCCTACAGGTAACAGTCTGTGTGGAGAGGTGGAATGCAGTGGCCGAAATGCAATCTAGGAACCCATTGGCTATTGTCTGATGACAATTTCGATTATTTATTTTTTTTATAGCTTTTTTAAGACTTAATCTGCATTCATATGCAGCTCACAGCAACTTAATATGATACAGTCTCTGGCTTTTCTCTGCTTTGTAGTGTCGGAATTTTATTTATTTTTTGCTTATTTCTGATTCCTTATTAGTGTATTTAGCATGAATTAGCTTGGAGGGTTAACGTGGCTTGTTTGTATTACTCGTTGTATAACTCGTTCAAACTCGCAAACTCTGTATGGGAAAAAAGTGGAATGAACAGTCAAATATTTGTTTTAAACAGCGTAATCTGATTCTGAGGGCAGATATCTGAGTCAGGTACAGCCCCAGAGTAGCCAAAATGATTGCTGCACAGAAGAAGAAGTCTTGGCCTGGATATCAGCTCAAAACACTGGAACTCCCAAAATATCAGCCGTTCCCTCAAGAGGCTTATCTTCATTAGATCAGTAGCTGATGGGTTCCATGATTGGCATTGATCTTAACCCTGACATGCATTACATCATCTGCGTGGAAATGTTGATGTATATGAGCTTCATGGCTGTGTGTCATGTATTTTTATGTGTGCAGGAGCTGGTGTCAGAGAAGCTGAGTGTTCAGCAGCAGAGTGTTGAGTTAGAGAGACTCAATGAAGAACTGGAGAAGATCGGACTGAACAGAGAAAAACTACTACAGCAAGAACACACACTGGAGGACAGGTAGTTTTGATATGGTGCTTTTTTGGGTCTCATTCCAGGGTGACTAATCAGATTGAAATGATATCATATGTGTAGAAATCAGGGCTGTCAAACAATGAATTTTATTAATGATTAATTGCTTTTTTAAATTTAATGTTTAAAATTCAATTTTTTTGCATTTCGAAACAGTTTCGAGGAATTATATATAAACAATGTAAAGCCATTCTTACTAGAGTGTCTTGATTAGAAATCAAATTAATGCAAGGTTTGATGCTTTTTAAATGAAGTGGGGTACTCACCAGTGTCACATCTGAGAAATTATTATAAAATAGAAAATAGTTATGCCAAACCACAGGCCAGGGTTGTTTCCTGACAACCCTTTACAGTTCAGTCCCAGTCCAATTTTTAACCACAAAAAGAAATACAGCTCAAAAGTCAATACAACTCTGGGTTTTACTATGGATCCCCACAAAACAAGAGACAATAATGTTTTTGTCTCTGCAGGTGCATATTACTGTTCCCTTGTCAACTGTCTGGTAGTTTGTCCAAGTGAGACATTTAAAAGCGCAGTGGTGTCCTATTTTCCATCACTGCAGCAGCAGGAGACAGAGAGCCGCTGTGGCTGTTTGATGAGAGTGCCCTGAAGAGACAAAAATAGCAGCACACAATATATGCGATTAAAAAAAAATAACGTCATGATCTGACCTTAGTCGCATCACGACGTATGTGTTGACGCCAACAGCCTTAGTAGAGATGAAGCTCAGATGAATAATTGATTGACTGATTGATTTCTTTGGTGTGCATGTCATGTCAGCAGGTACAGGCTGCTGGAGTCTCGGCTTGAGGAAACTGTCCAACAGACGATGAAGATTAAAGAGGAGAAAATCTCCTGTCTAGAAAAGAAACTCGAGGAGAGCAAGACACTCAACACTAAACTACGTGCTGAGCTAGCCACTGTACGGACATGCATACAAATTCTTACCAAAAATCCTTCCCCATTATGAGATGTTGTATTGTAGTGTGTGACAATATATGTTTTTTTTCCAGGGGGAAGAAAACCACAACTCCCAGCACCACTCAGGAAGTGACAGGGGTCAAGGGTCAGCTACTGCTGAGCTTCTACGAATGAAAGATCATCTCATTGACGTGGAAAAGAATGTAAGATTTTTGTTGTTTAATTCCTGAATAAAAACCTCACAGTACATTTTATCATTCTGTTTGCATATTTAATGTTCATTTATGTTTATTTTCCTATTATTTATTTTTTATAATTCACATTTTTCACACAGTGTACACTACATGTTCATATGTATTTTGTATATCAAAGGAATCCTCCCCCTCCCTCTTGTTTAATCAAGAACATAGAGAAGTTTCACTTTCTGTTCAGTTCCCTATCAGAGAGGGCTGTCTGATTGGGAAGTACTGAGCATGCGACTGGATAAATGAGACTTGGATTACACTCAACAAGTTTTGTGAGAGTATGTTTTGATATAGTTTTGCTGTTGTTAAACACAAACCCTATGACTTAACTTCATCAAGACTTTTCTCAGTTTTGGGATTCTTTGTTCACTGTGGAGGCATGTGAAAAAAACAGTTTTCATTATAAATTCAATGTAACATGGGGGTGAGTAATTGTATTAATTGACCATTATTGTCAGAGGAATTCATTGATGTGTTCTTATTTACCACTTGGAATTTTTTTTGTTGAGTTATTAATTGTTTTGGTGTCATTGTTTTCTCTAGAATGCCTCCCTGCAGACAGAGAGCAGTCTGTTGAAGGGGCAGCTCAAACAGCTGGAGAACCAGAACTCATCTCTTAACAACCAGATGTTGGCATTGCAGCGACACGTCACCACTCTGCAGGAACAGAATTCAGGCTTACACACACAGACAGCAAAAATACAGGTGAACAACATCCAGTTTAGTCACACAGTATTTCTGTAAAACTGAGCTAATCAGTAACATTTTCTGTACTATATTTCTCCAGATAATTTTTTAGCACTGAATTCTAATGGCTTCTACTGTGTCTTAGGTGGAGAACTCCACGCTGTCTTCCCAAAGTGCATCTCTCATGGCCCAGAATGCCGTGCTGCAGGGCCAAGTCACCGCTTTGGAGTCGGAGGTAGAGTCGTGGCAGAGGCAGCGCGAGGAGGCATGGCGGGGCAGAGAAAGCGTGCTCAGCGACCATGAACGCCTGCTGAGCGTTCACGAGAGGCAAGCACATGAGTACGAGCAGCTGATCAGTCAGCACGCTGCACTGAAAGGCAAACAGAGAACGCTAGAGAGCGAACACAGGACGCTGCACAGCAAGTAAGTGAATAACATACAAACCTTACTAACAATATAGAGATAGAAGGTCTTTGGTAATCTTTAGTTTGCAGAAAGAACACTGTGAGGTGAACCCATGACCGGAAAACTATCACTGAGGACATTTTTGTAGATAATAAGCTCATGAATTTAATGGAAGAAGCTCAGGTGATTTTAGTCCTGCATTAAAGTCACAGTGAAATGGCAATTACAGCATCTTAAAGGGATAGTGCACCCAAAAATGAAAATTCAGCCATTATCTACTCATCCATATGCCGACGGAGGCCCTGGTGAAGTTTTAGAGTCCTCACATCCCTTGCAGAGATCAGTGGGTGGAGCGGCTAGCATACCTAATGGTAGATGGCGCCCCAGACTAACGTCCAAGAACACAAAATTGAATCCACAGAGTACCTCCATACTGCTCATCCATAGTGATCCAAGTGTGCTGCAGCCCCGACATAAAAACTTGTTTCGAAAAATGTCATATGAACTCTGTTTTTAGCCTCACTGTAGCCTGTAGCTCTGACTGCTTCTCTGTGCTCCGCGTTCACGTGTGCATGCTCAGGGTGATCGGTGATGCACGGTCTCTGACAAGCAGCAGTCTCGTCAGTACAGATGTCCAGATTCTCAAGTGCAGGCATCGCCAATTCCCAGTCTGAGCAGCAAAGACTTTCCTCACCCGTTGGCATTGCTTTGCATTTGAAACAACTACACCACCAGGTTTCCAGTGCTCGACTCCGGTATTCTGCGGCTGGCTGAGGGTTAGGCTCATGAGCTGCGGCGGCTGCTTCGTCCAGTAGCCTGAGTTCCGTGCGTATACTCTGGCTCAAACAAATACGGCTCAACAAAGAAATGCTGTTCCTCCTCAATTTCAAAGTCTTCAGACATGTTGGGCTGTCCTTTGCTAAAAGACCGTAGTGCAAATTATCTTATAGCTCTGTGGTTACGTTGTCTCTCCCTGCGGTGCACGTGTCACGTGTTGTAAACACGGGTGAGCAAAGCTCATGCTTTCGCTGGTCTCACGCAGGCGCGCACATGTGAGTGCGGAGCACAGAGAAACAGTCAGAGCTACAGGCTACAGTGAGGCTAAAAACAGAGTTCATATGACGTTTTTCGAAACAACTTTTTATGTCGCGGCTGCAGCACACTTGGATCACTATGGATGAGCAGTATGGAGATACTCTGATTCAGTTTTGTGTTCTTGGACATTAGTCTGGGGCGCCGTCTACCATTAGGTGTGCTAGCCGCTCCACCCGCCGATCTCCGCAAGGGATGTGAGGACTCTAAAACTTCACCAGGGCCTCCGTCGGCATATGGGTGAGTAGATAATGGCTGAATTTTCATTTTTGGGTGAACTATCCCTTTAAGCTTCTCTAATGTGATGTAGTGAATTAGAATAAGTGGGTGGGGTTTAGTTACAAGAGGGATTTAAATCAAATCCTTAAAATTGGATTGGATTGTAAAAAAGGGGCTTCGTGAATACGCTGAGCAAATTACAGCACAATATACAGAGCTGTAGAAAGATGTTGTTCTTTTTAAAAAAGAAGGAGGTATATAAGCTTGCAGAAAAATGTAAAGTACATTAACCAGTATGTACCATTGTTTCTTAGTAGTTCCAAACAACATAGCCTGAAGATGGTAGAGTAGATTTGAATCTATATTTAGGTCATAACTAAAGTTGGCTGTGTTGTAGCTACACTATGATTCTAATTACAGAAACAAGTAACAAAAATGCATTGCAATGTTATACTGCACAGTAGAACTTTACTTGAACTCTATATACAGTATGTAAACAGATGCATAGAGTCACATGAATCGTACATATGGACACACACATCCAGTGTTCTCAGTCAAGCTTAGTTTGTTGATTATTGGCCGCCTGTGCATATTGTGTTTTACCACCACCAGTGGCTGTAGGTCATAGTATTATTGATCAGTGACAGAGACATCAACCAACACATTGTGACTATGAATAAACACAGCTCAACCCTCCTCATGTCCTACATTTGCTCTAGTTGTTAGTTCCATTTTGCTCCAAGGTTTTTTTTTTCCCCTTTCTTTTTCTGCACAATCATCTGTAACCCAATTGGGTTTTTTGGCCTTGATTAACGTTCCTGAATCCTTTAATATTGCATATCTTAAACACCAGATCAGATCCCTAACTCGCCCGAAATTTCTTAAGCTACATGATTCAAATACCAGAGGTGTGGACTCAGGTCACATGACTTGAAGTAGAGTCAGACTCTAGTCACAGCTTCGTGGACTTAAGGGTGCTTTCACACCTGTAGTTTTGTTCATATGGTCCGCACCAGAGAAAAAATGATACACTGTTGCATTGTAGTTTTGGTTCGGTTCCCATTCACATGGAGTAAACATGAAGTTCTACTGGCTCGTAGGTAACTTGTTGATTGGATAGTTTTGGTGTTTGTCATCCTGCGTCATCAGTGCATCATCAGGACCCATGTGGGGAAACCAGATTCTGGTGACTGACAGAAGTTTCTGCAGGAGCACTGTAATGCTTCTGAAGTGTTTTGTCTTTGGTTTCACAAAGAGCTCATAGAGAAATAACTGATTGTAAGCATTATTAGTAGGCTAATATTAGACTGCAAATCAATGGCATGTTATGAATAATGACTAACAGAGACGGGATAAAAAGAAGACGTCTTGTACAGTAATGATGCGGGGCTTAATACTGTGGGATCACTGTCACACAATTTTTAAATAAACTTAATAAACAGACAAAGTACAGAGTCAAAGACAATTATGGCATCTTTAACAGCTTTTTAATGAGGGAAAATAGCCTCACTGACATGCATATGTGTTACCATGGTTGCGTGCATTCATTAGCATAAATAGGTTATGGGATATACCTGGCCTTTATCAGGATCAATTATTAGATCGCGGACAGATTTCACATTAAGCAGATGGATTTATCATTGGCGTAGCTGTTGGAATCATGCTAAAATCACATATCTGCTGTCATAAAATCCTGTGATTGGTTCGTTTTCTCTCACACCACAAACAAACCGCACCAGAGACCATTTGGAAGTTAACCAAGACCCACCTTTTTGAGTGGTCTTGGTTCGGTTGTTTGGTCTGCACCAGGGTTTGACTGACAGCTTTCACACCAGCCCAAACAAACCGTATTGAGTGTGCAAATGGACCTGAGTTTGTTTTAGCCAAACCAAACAGGTTAATAGTGAAAGCACCCTTAAACTCAATTTGAGAAATCAAAGAAGACTTGTAACCTATCTTGGATTTCAACACCAGTGAGATGTGACTTCACTTGGACTTGAGCCTTTTGTCATTAAAATACTTGATACCTTCCCCCAAGCCCAAAGATTTAAATGTGTGTTATTTAATAAGTGTACCACAAATTAATTCATTTCCCTTCATTTTGTGAATCAAGTAATGTTAACACTATTCTTTCCCAACAAGTCCACACTTAATTCCACAGATGATCCACTTTGTTTGAACCACAGCATCCAATAAAGATGCAGGAGAGAACCATGCATGAAGAACTGATGGTGGAACCACTTGGGAAAAAATGATACCAATGATAATTTTGTAATTTTGCATACAAAAACTACATGATGATCAACAAAAAAAAAAGAATTACAGTATGCAAGACATGTGGGGCGAAAATTACAGACGGAAATGCAAAAACTTCCAACCTTTGACGTATAAAGTTACACATAGGATGGGAAGTCAAGGCGAATATTAACGTAGTTAGGGAGCTAATACTTAGCTAACATTAGCAGCTAATGGCTAAGTCATTTAANACCAAAAAAAAAAAAAAATGCTTTTCTTTACAAAAAAAGACAGAGAGCCTCAGGCTGGGGGTAGGAGAAGACATTTCCACCATAAATTGATTAATACAGGAATGAATGTATTAAGTACATTGCGCGTCGGGGTTCTAGTCCGCTGTTCTATTCCCCTGTCGGGAGTTATTTTCCCAGTATTCACCGGCTCATTATACATTATCCCGCTTATTACGCGGCTAATTATCAGTTGAATAGACAGAATATTGATTAATTATACAATTTTATTGAGTTATAAATTAAATTGGGAGGAGAGAAAAAACAAACTGCTGGCAACGGCTGAATATGTGCTACAATAGCTACAAGAGAAAATGAAAAGAAAATAGCCTAACAATGCACATAGGGCAACGCCAGGCTACATAGCAACTGTGTGTAATGACCGTTGCTACTAGCAGCGGTCATTACACAGTAATATCAGACCGCAGAATGCCGCGACTGACCAATCAGAATGCAGCATTTAATAGAGCCGTGTAATAAGACTGGTTAAGGACACAATACTCAACATTAAGGACTTGAGACTTTCTTGTGACTTGCAAAACAATGACATGGTCATACTAAAGGCCCTAGTTCAAGATGTCTAACTCTGTTGGAGTTGTTGGGACTGCAAAAATATTAGCAGGCTAAGTTGGACAAAACACGGTAGAGTACAGGAAAGAAAGGATCAGATTTTGATCAGCTTTATTTTCTGTGATACTAATCCATTACAGTATGCTGGATTAGCCCTGATATTGATACTTAGGATCAGCTCGGGACATCTCCACATCAAACAGTATGGAACAAGTACAGAAGTCAGAGCTTTTACTCAGAATGAACCTTCCATTTTAATTTTGTTAACCATCTATATGTGTTTGTAGATATCTATTATTTGCTGTTACACTTCCTTGACTACACTATGTGTTAACATGAGTCGACTCTGAACTTGTTTACTCCCCAAGGCCCCACAATGGAAACATGACTGCCAATGTTTAACCAATCACAGAAATGGAAACTCTGTGTTTTTTAGTCTGGTGATCTCCTCAGGCTGACTCAGTCTTGATTGGCACGTCCTCAGTAACTGATCTTTAACCACCATCCTCATACTGCCAGCCTGACTCATGTGTTACATCACGGTTTAGGGAATTCATCTGTTCTTATTCCAAGAAACATAATATTGATGTATCCCTGCTCACCTTTTCACACTTTTATTCTGTATTTGTATTAAAGCAAAAACTGTAGGCGCCATACTCTGCTACATGGTATCAAATGTGTGTAACAGTGTAAATAAACATCACCATGGGGCTCACTCAAGCTGTAATCACAGACACTATCAAGTAGAAATAACTCCTTGGCTATGTTTGTCTGTTTGTCTGTCTGTCTGCAGGTATTGTAATTTGCTGCAGCAGAAGGAGAAATGGGAGGAGCAAGAGGGGCATGGTCGAAAAGAGAAGGAGCAACTAAACCAGGAGATCCAGAAGAATCGGCTACTACAGCAAGAGAATCTACAGCTGAAAACAGAAGTGGACAGGTACTGTATCTGTACTCACAGTCACACCGTCAGACATTGACAAAAAGTTAGTGGTAGATAGTTTTGCTCTGGAAAAATGATAAACTGACGTCCCAGAGAGACATGGCAGATGGCATGTTAGACAGATATCATCCAGTCTGATGTCTGTGTTACTGCTTGTTAGAACAGGTATGACAAAAGAATATTATTTCCGTATCTGGTAAACTTTGGAATGGTTAAGATCAGGTACAGTGGAGCCACAGTGTGGTTAAGGTCAGGGGCAGAACCTGGAGGCACAGTCAGCTCCAGATTTTAAAACTACCTGAGTTGATGACTTGACTTTCCTCACGTCGGTGCTTTCTCTATCCTGTCTTACCTCTTCTGTCTCCCCCTTTAGATTAACAGAGAGCCAATCACAGCAGTCAGAGCAGAGTGAGGGGCTGCAGCAGCGCTTGAATGAACTCAAGAGCTCATTAAGCACGGCCCAGTTGGAACAGAGCCGATGGATGGCACGATATGATTCGCTAATGGAGCAACACCAGGGCCTGGATCTAACTATGACCAAACTAGACAACCACTGCGAGGTAAACCGGGCCTTTTGTTTTACCATGAGGTAGTGTTTGACTTTAAAACTCTTCAGCTTTCCTTATCTAACACAAGTCTTGCTCAACTTTTCTTTGTTCCTTTCCTGGACTTACTCATGCGTGTGTGCGCATGTGTGTGTTTAGCTGTTGAGTCGACTGAAAGGGAACCTGGAAGAGGAGAACCACCACCTCCTGAGTCAGATCAACCTGCTGAGTCAGCAGAACCACACACTGCTAGAGAGGAGCATGGAGAGCAAAGAGCTGTATCACCAGGAGCAGAAACTCTACATGTAACTGCACACAACACCTGCAACACAGACAACAAACTGTACATCATATAACACCAGGACTTATGTAGTGTACAAGATTATTGAGTAGGGATGAACTGATTGTAATAACTGCGGAAAATCTGCAGGTGCAGATTTTGTATGGGCTTTATTATCAGAGAAACAAAAGGGTGCATCCTCTGACGTGTTGATGGTGAATTTACTGCGTCCTTTCCACCCAAAGGTGTTCCGGAGAAGAACTCTGTTTGTCCCAGACACGTTTTCTATTGTCCGCGCGACGACGGGATGCCATTAGTCTCAAGCCCTACTTTTTAAGCCTGCGTAAAATTGACGTAAGACAGTAGGAAAACATCGGCCACTGCCATCTGTGAATGTCATCTTATTTGCCGTAAGGTCAGTGGCAGTCAACAAGGACAATATCGGCTAATACTGAACTGGACCGAACCTGAAGAGTAACAGAAACTCTACGTGTAACTATAGAGCAGACACCACCATTATATCCTTATCCAGATCTGCTTCTAAAAAATGACACATATACTGATATGTTAAACTCTGATGATAAGTAACTTCCAATGTGTTTCTGTGTTTCTTTCCGTCTGTGTCTTTCCTCATCTAGTGATAAGCTGAACGCTCTTCGTCGTCAGAAAGAGAAACTAGAGGAGAAGATCATGGACCAGTACAAGTTCTACGACCCCACACCGAAAAAGTAATCTTTTTATCAACGCATATCGTTTTCTTTTTACAGAAAATATGGAATAACTGTGTGTAGTGCTGCAATTGTTTACAGTATCAGCCCCATATAACTGGTTGCTATCATGGTGTCCCGTCAGGAGGAGTCAGTGGTCTGGGGCCAAAGCTTTAGCCAAACTGATTAAACCCCGAAAGGAGAGCAGCAGGGAGAGAGGAGCGGACCGAGACAAGGAAGGAGCCAAAGACAGGGAACGAGCAAAGAGCGCCCCAGACATCCCACTGCCTTCCCCACCTCCCCTCCTCCCCCCTGAAACCCCACCACCGCTTCCCCAGCGCACAGGAAGTGACACACAGGATAGTGGCCTTAGCCACTGTAACCATAACAACCACACCACCAGCACCAGCCTGGGACCCCGGAGTCCAGCCCTCACGCCCATCAGCCGAGGTAAACACACTGTTACACACATCTAAAAATAACGAAACCCCTCTTTATACAGCATTAATTACCAGGAGCGTCTACTGATGAGTCATATTCATCTCAGGATGCTGAGAATTTCACACGTTGACAAGTTTGCTTCACTTGTATTTGACATAGGAGGAGGAATTCATGTCTATATTATCCTGTTTATGGAATATGATAGAGAGGGAAACTGTATCAAGTCATTCATTATAAAATGCACATACAGCATGAATCAAGTATATTTTTTGCTAATATTTTGGTTCCAAAACCACAAAGCTGATGGAACATGGGGACTTCTGATCAGGCGCACCGCCCTATCCACTCTTATAGAGGGCGCTGTTGACCACCACATAACTGACTTTACACCTCAGTTTCTTACATCTAATAACCTCCACTGCATCTGTTCTCCACTGTTTCCATATTAACAAGACTCTGCTCCTGCACATGAAATACTGAAAGTACATTGAGGTATTAGTGAATGATTTAAAGTAGGGTTGTACTGCATGCGGAATGTGCGCAATCTACGGTTATATTTTACACTTTGAGGTGTTTCCTGACACTTTGTAAATTACACAGTTTTCAAATCTCATTTTGTAAAATCCAACTCAAAAAAGAGGGAAAATGAAAAGTAAAGGACAATTTTAAATGTGTGACACAGTAAGTTTAAATTAGTATGTTGACTGTTTTTTCAAACCAAATCCTACTTAAATATTTAGCCGTCTTTTCTTAATGTTCATCAGCTACTTTTTGAAATCCACTTGAACCAATCTTAATATTGTCATAAATTAGATCCACACAGCACTTATTTAAAAATATGCTAGGCAGGATATTCTAAAAAAACAGCGTATAGACTCATACAGAAGTAATCCCTTCGCAATCTTCACTCATAACCAGACCAGGATGGAATCCACAGCTTTTTTAATTGTTTTCAACGGTGATCCAAAATGAAATGAAAATCAACAAAATGTGGGACACATGGCCATTGAAATAGAAGGTTCAATATGGAGAGAGAACAATAATTAATTTAATCTGTTAACAGTAAATCTTATTTTTGACATTTCTTGTCACTACACCACTAACTTTAATTTGAATGCTAACTGAACACAACACACGATTGTCACACACATCCACAAGGAGGTGGGTGAGACAGTGACAACATTCTGAGAATTACAAGCACCATCTGTATTCCTAAAATGTGCAGAAAATACACGGTGTTCTGTGGGTGCAGATTCTGTATGGGCCTGCTTATGACGCACTCTCAGTGTGTGGAGGTGTATTTATCTGCAGAGACTGTGCCCTCTGGCTGGATTTTCCTATGTTCTTCTTATTTTTCTGTGTTTGGGACTTCTATGGGTGTGTACCCCCACAGAGCTCAGATGATGGCTGGACTTAATGATACGGTAGTGACTTGGTGCCCGACTGTAAGCAGACAATGTGAAAAGAATGCAATGACCCCTTCCCTACTTTCTACCCCTCTAATTCCGGCGCCCTTGCTCGGACCTCACACATCCTCAAATTCAGCCTTCATTTTAATCTTAACTACACACTTGTAAGGGTTCGTGACTGCATCTTGCACAGCAGCAATGCTATCACATTGAGAAAATCTGCCCACAGACAGATATAAACACCTGGCTTAATACTCAAAACAGCCTCTCGTTACAGTAGGTGCCACCGGGACACATGATGACGCACACACTCACACACACAGTCACAAGGTGAAAACAATACTACCTGTCATGACATTGTGGCTGGTAATTACAACAGGAAACCCCCTGAAAGCCCACTGAAATGACTGTTGTCATACTCAGGACAGGAAAAGAAATTTTTGGTTGTGTAAATAGGAAAACAGGTTTATCACCACATCTTTAATCCAGGTTGTGACAAGGGTTCACAAGGAGACATGCCTTGCCTTAGACATACAAAGAAGACACAGAAACACTTTACTCTGCAGCTACCTGATGCAAACTTTTCATCATTCTGTCCTAACAATAGAACTGGGTTCTAATGCATGGTCCAAACTGTGTTTATGGTTTTATTTCCATGGGTTTTCTTTTTAGTGCCCTACTCTTAAATGGAATTCTACTCATGGCTGAGCTCAATTCACAAAGTGGGTTTTAAATTGAATTCCACTGGCATGTGGAAGTTATAATATTCAGCTTATTGAAGATAAGTTGAACAATAAACAATAAATCTTGCCAGTTGCTCTACTATTCTGTCTTGCTGGTCAGGCATAAATGACTCCCCAGCAGTGGAGAGAGTTTTGCCTACAATGTCTTTCATTTCCTGTTAACTAAGTTTTGCACCAGTAGTCACACTTTGATTGTATTCAGAGTGAGTTGAGCTCAGTCTTTTCTCTAATGCATGACTCTATTCGACAATGGATTTCTGTATTCTGGTTCTATTTTAATGGATTTTTTTGCATGATATCTGTTATTTTGCATTCTGTCAATCACAAACTTAATACTTAATCATCTGTTTTCTTTATTCTACACACTGTCATTATTTCATCATTTTCTTTTACATTTCTCCACATCTCCCTCCTATCTCTCTCCATTCTCTCCATCTCAGCTCCCCCCACCCCAAAACGCTTCACTTTCCTCCGCAGTAAAAGTCAAGACAAACTCCTCCCCTCCTCCTCCTCATCCTCCTCTTCATCCTCCTCCTCCTCCCGTCCCTCCCTCTCTCTCACCAGAAGACTGCGATTTTGGTCTTCCACTGACATCACAGCTGACGTCCTCAGTAGCCAGCCAATCTCAGCCAACGGAGTATTCTAAAATCCTCCTCATCACCCTTTTTAGCCACACACATCATCATCATCTTCTTCACTGCCACCTCCACATCAGACTGTCCAACAACACTCCTCATTGTGACTCTCAGTACTTCACACAGAAACGCACATATCATGCATGCATGCACTTCATAAACACTAATGCAAGTTGCACACTCCTCCAGCATACAGATGAACACACACAAACAGATGCATGTAGCAGTTGAGAGCCAGCCAGTAATACTAGTAAGTAGTGTGTGTAGAAATGGTTTGTGTGTGTGTGTGTGTGTGTGTGTGAGAGTGTGTGCGCACATGCAGCTGTTTCCAAGCAAGCCAGTCATGCCTGCATATATCTGCGTGTCCTTTAACAGTTGTTTATTTTTGATTGCTGTCTGTATAAATAATAATTGTTTGTTTGTGTGCTGTCACCTCACCTAATGTCTTTAACCTGGCGAGTGTCTCGGTGGGGTTTGATCTCTGTGTTAAGACCAAATATCAGTCTGTTCTGAGCTGAGTTGCTTGAAGATAGATCTGTTGCTTCACAAAGCTTTGCTGCAGAGTTTTCACTTAAAGGGACAGTTCATTCCAAAATCAGAAATACATTCCTCTTACCTGTAGTGCTGTTTATCAATCTAGACTGTTTTGGTGTGAGTTGCAGAGTGTTGGATGTATCCGTTTAGAGATACCAGCCATCTCTCCAATATAATGGAACTAGATGACGTTCAGTGCCAAATGGCCAAAAAAAAAAAGATTTGAAAAACTCAACAGCAATGCCTTTTTCCAGAAATCATGACCTGGTTAAGATAATCCTCAGACCTTGTTGTGAGCAGTTTCATGTAGGAAATCACTTTCTTTCTACCGAACTACACCCGCCAGTTGATCGCTGTGCAGAAGGAAACATGCATCTACTTATGGATGAGACCCTTGTGCTCGTTACAGCACAAGATGTGAACATTTATGGTGTCCTCTTTGGCTGAGCTGTAAAGTTAGCTAGCTCAGTGATGCTAGGTGAGCTAGCAGTAGATGTACACGTCCCTCTGCGCAGTGATATGGTTTGAGGGTGTTGTTTAGTAGAAAGAAAGTAGTCCCTACATCTAACTGCTCACAACAAGGTCAGTAACTGAGTCATGATTTCTGGATAGAGACATTACTGTTTTTGTTTTGTTTTAAATGTATTTTTTTTTGGCACTTTGAGCACCGCAAGCCGAGTGCCATGTAGTTCCATCATATGAAGAAATGGCAGACATCTCTATGGCCATTATCTCCAGCACTCGGCAACTCACACCAAAACAATCTTAACAGATAAATAGCATTAGAGGTAAGGGGGAAGATAAATATTTTGATTTTGGGGTGAACTGTGCCTTCAATTCACTCGACAGTGACAGGTCACTACAGCAACCCTAGCACCTCTCTTTCAGCTTCTCCTGTCTGTGTACTTACTCTAACCCTCTGTCTATCCATCCTCTGTCCGAAATTAGCTTTTTAATCGCCAAAGCCTGTATGGGTTTTTTCTAGCTGCGCTAGCTTAGATAAAAAAAAGAGAATTTGTCACTTTAAAAAGAAGAAATTACAATGTCTTTCTTCTACAAATGAAAAGTTTAATTCATAAGCATTAAAAAGCACACACAGGCAAAATTTAATACATTACACAGGGGGTTTGTCTCTACAGACACTTGGTCAGGTATGACCAGTAGCATACAGTGGCTAACACTAGCTGTTGTTTTTCGCTTAAATTTAGCAGTGTCACTGACATTACTCAAGTCAGTTCACTGACTTTATGACTTGTTACTCTACATTTCAGCATGTCCCAGATAAACATTTCATCAACTTTATCTCAAATGTAAAACAAGAAGTCAACATACTGAGGCATGTTTGTCATCACCTGCTTGTGCTCTCATCCCATTAGATCTCTGATAGGTTGCCTCACAACATGTGGTAAAAAAAAAAGGTATTTTAAATGTGCTATTATGCTGTCATTTCCACCTGGGGCCACAGTGATGGTTGTTCAGCAAAAGTTACATAGTCTCACTTTAATAAATCAGAAAAGAGTTTCCCCACCTTCCCAAAAATGCCATTTTGATGTTGTTACTGTCAAAGAACCAAAGATCGACCAAAATAACTATTGCATCAAAATGCCAGACTGTCTCTTAACAGAGAGTTATATTTGTTATATCCAGTGACATTTGGACTCCAGAGGAATTGTCGATTGTTATCACTATTGGTAGTGTCTTAGGTTATAAATACTGCTCAATAGAAGTCTGAAAAATTAATCTTTTGTACCTTTTGTTGCCGTTTGCGGCAATTTGTGGTAAAATTGGATAGTTTAGCTCTTACTTTGAACCTTTAATGCCAAAAGAGATTTACAGAGATTAAGTGTTTGGCTCAGATGTTTTTTTTCCTGGGTTCTCTGGATAAAAATTTTGACAGTCACTGGGATTTAAAAACTCTATCTTCATGATGGGACATGGCAGGACTTTGCATTAGCAAAGCTGCATTTTATTGGGTGCATCCATGTTCACACTTTTATTGGCTCAGTATTTGGATGACTCACTGTGATGTACAGAGAAGTCATTGACCCCGGTCCCTTGATATTGATGAGAAATATCAAGTCATAATAGAATGATACATTCACTGAATAATAACAGCCCACAGTGATTTGTAAGCTTACCGTGCACCTGAATCAATGAATGGATTCCTGATGTCTTGCTTGGCTTTCTTGCTACTTTATGTTACACACACACCACACGTCTTATGGTCATATTTGGCATACAGGTCTAGAATGGTTTCTTACAACATTCTGATTGGTCTGCAGGTATGACTGACAGGGGCCGAGGGGTTTATCGTAGCAATATTCCAGGAGGCAGCAATGAGAGTGTCAATGGAGAGGATGGCCATGGACAAGGTAATGAACCTATTAATAGTTAATGACCAGAACATTCAATAAAAATGTTGTGAATCCACCAGGAAAACTGAGCAACTTGATAAAGATGCAAGTTAAATTGAGGTTTAGGGTATTATCATTTTTACAGACATCAGCAACTGGAATTTTATTTAGTCCACAAATTTCAACCTGTTACTTAATCAGGCCTTGTTCAAATTTGGTGTTGATAGTGGCTGTTTGGTCTTACATTTGTTGCTTGAAAACCTACATTGAGGCACCGGAAAGGAAAGGGAAGAAAATTAAGCAATGTGCATTTTGTCAAAGTAAAGACCAGTTTCCCTTGTCCTGTTCCTCTTCCTTCCTTGATCAAGAAAGCAAAGATGTATTATATTATAAAAGGTGAAAGGTAGCCTGTTGTTCAGTATATAAATGAATTATTCTGCGATAAGACTTTGGTTTGCTCTTAGCAGACTAACCTCTTTGAGTTTCCTGCCCCCAGGTCAGAGCTATAAAGCTCTGAGTTCCACTCCAAGCCATCCGTCATCCTCTTTGGGCCTAATTAACAACTCCAGCTCCAGAATGGGACAAGACCCTGGCCGCAGGCAAAGAGGTATGTTCAGTAATTAACACAAAACATCTTATTTCAAATTCAGCGGGAGCATGAGTGTGTTTATAATGGTGTGTAAAACATTTCAGGTCCGTTATTTGATGAAGACTCCCGCCACAACACCTCTGACTCTGTTTTTGGTCAACATGGCAACACAGGAGGTCGCCCAGGGTCGGCAGACTTCAGCCACAACACTTCCAGCTCCAACTCACCTGTCAACTGCAGAGGTACACGCACATTACAACTATTAATTCTGCTTGAAGCAATATTTAGCAGAATATTTTGTATAAATAGGTACAAATTTTGCTATTACCTGTTACTGATAGTAGATATAAGTTAGATAATAGACTGAAATGAGCAAATCTAAATACAGTTCATACAGATTTTGCACACAGTATTATGTCACAAAACATATTTATTATTGTTAATATTTCTGACCATCTTAGACACGTCAGAACGTCAAATTCGCTCAGCCAGCCTCTCCAGTGATGACGTCATGGGTCTCAGCCAATCACAACAGACTCTGTCACGTAGTTCCACCCTTCCATACGACCACACACCCCAAAGAGCCCAACCACAGCGTGGAGGTGCGGTTAGGACTAAGACCCGTCCATCTTCTCCCGGAAGTGAGATGGTGACACTGGAAGAGTTTCTACATGAGAGCAACCTACAGTCACCGCCTATGGTAAGAAATATGCATATATTGTAAAAGAGTGTACTTCAATGGTAATATATATGTACACACATAAGGAATAAAGTCAGCTGATGTGGTAATAAATAAATAATAAGAAACATCCAAATAGAATAGAAACATCCATCCATACATCCATTTTCTTCTGCTTTCCTGGGGCTGGGTCACGAGGACCCCAAGGTTTTCCCCAGGCCAGATGAGATAAATAAACCCTTAAGCGTCTTCTGGGTCTACCCTGGAGTTTCATTCCAGTTGGACATGCCCATAAAACCTCTAAAGGGAAGCATCCAGGAGGAATCTTGACTCTACTCCGAGCAAACTCTGAATGTCTGAGATCCTCATGGTATCTCTAAGGCTGAGCCGAGCCACCTTGCGGCAGAAACACAATTTCAGCCTCTTGTATCCTTGATCTCATTCTTTCGGTCATCACTTAAAGCTCACAACCATAGGTGAGGGTTGGAAAATAGATCAACTGGTAAATTGAAAGCTTTGCCTTCTTGTTCAGTTTCTCTGTACCACAATGATCTGGTACAAAGCCCCCATCACTGCTTAAGCTTGAACAATCCACCTGCCCATCTCACATTCCATTTCAACCTCATTCATGAATATGAGCTCAAGTTACTTAAGGCAATTACTGACTCCCAAACCAGAGAGAGCAATGCACTATTTTCTGGCAGAGAACCATGGTCCCAGACTTGGATGTGCTGACTCTCATCCTGCCTGATTCACACTCAGATGCAAATCATTCCAGTGCATGCCGAAGATCATGATCTGAAGAGGGCCACAGAACCGCATCGTCTGCAAAGAGCATAGGTGCAGTTCTGAGGACCCCAAAGCAGACACTCTTCTACTTCCAGCTATGCCTTGAGATCCTGTCCAGAATCTGTTCCAAGGGACAACCCTGACAGAGAACAACACCCGATGAAAACACGTTTGACTTTGTGCTGAGAATACAAACATAGCAGCTTTCACTTTGGTTATATAAAGATGTGATGGGTCATAGCAAAGGTAATGGTACCCCATACTTCCACAGGACTCACAGGACTCCTCGGAGGACATGCATGTAATGTATGCCTTCTCCAAGTCCATAAAACATGTATTGACTAGATGGGTTCAGTCTCATGATCCCCACAATTTCTCCTCAAGGATGTAAGGTTCAACAGTCAGTTGAAGCCTCCTTTTTAGCACCCTGGAATAAACTTTCCCAGGGAGACGCAGCAGTGTGATATCCCAAAAATTTGAGGAAACCCTCCAGTCCAGTTTATTAAAAATGAAAACCATTACTCCCGTCTGCCACTCCATAGGCACTGTGACTTTCACAAGACACTGAAGAGGTGTGTCAGCCAAGACAGCCCAACATTGTCCAGAGTCTTCAGCATCTCAGCTAAATCTCATCCACACTACTGAGGAGCTTTTTGACTACCTCAGCAACCTCTGCCAAGTATATGGGTGAGGCTTCCCCTAGGTCTTCAAACTGTGTCTCCTCCATAGAACATGATGATCAGATGCAGGTGCTCCTTAAAATCCTCTTTCCATCACTCGATAATATTCCCATTCCAGGTCACAAGTTTTGTATTCCCTTCCTGAGTTGTTGAACAGTTTGCCAGATCTTCCTTAAGGCCAAGTACCGTCTAAATCACCCTGTGCTCAAACATGGTGTGTGTAATGGCCAATCCAAAGTCCAATAACAAAACATCACTCTGGTACAGATCAGGCAGGCTGTTCCACACAGGCATCCCACTCCAGGTTTCTTCATTGTTACCCAAGTGAGCATTGAAGTCCCCAAGCACGTATAGTGCCAGTCTCCAGATGGTATCCTTTCCAGGACACCACCTAGAGATTCCAAGAAGGCCGGGTACTCTGAGCTGCTGTTTGGTGCATAAGCACAAACAGTCAGAGGCTTCCTTTCAGTAAGTTTCAGTCGCACAGAGGCGACCCTCTTATTCCCCAGGGATAACCCTTATACAGTGGCATGAGTATCTCCACACCAGCCCTGCGCCTTTCACTCTGATCAACTCAGCAAAAAACAAAAGTCCAGCCTCTCTCCAGGAGTTTGGTCTCCAAACTGGTGCTATACTGTGAGCCCAACTATGTCTAGTTGGTAGCACTCCACCGCCCAAACAATTTCCAGTTCCTTCCAGCCGAGAGGTGCGTCCCTACAGCCAGTCTGTTATGTCAGTGTTTAGCACTAGGTCCCTGCCTCTTCGTGCCATCCAGCCCAATGCACCCAAAACCAATGCCAGTAACTGCAAGTGGTTGGCCCACAGGGCGGCGCTTCCATGTCAGTCTTTTGGCCTGTGGTCAGCGTAGCCCCATCTGACAAGGCACACCCACCCAATAGTCACATGGAAATATACTTGTACTGAAATAACACTTGGTATCCACTTAAATATGTTAATACAACAGTGAGTGCTGATATAGAGTATAACATCACTGGGACTTGTAACAGTAAAATCACTCCAATCACAGGTGTTATGAATACAACCGTTAATTAACCAACTGTCACACTCGTTACATTGACACAAACGGACAGTATAGCGTTACACCAAGAAGATGGATATTTTCCCCAAAATTACATTTGAATTAAATCATGAGTGGTCGTCAGGAGAGGACGAGGAAAAGGAAAGCCAGGACTCTTCTGTGCAGACCTCCAGGTGTGTTTGTGTAACATCAGCCGACCTCAACAAACTGGAGAGGAGCAAAAATTAAGCGAACACGGTCAGGAATTATCAATGATCACCTGATGAGGTACTGATGAGGATGAGGGAGAGTGGAAGCTGAATCCGGCCGTGCCATCATCCAGGTATGCCAACGTTTCATCAGCCGAACTGGACGAAGTTACACAGCTGCAGATCAAAGTAAATACAAAGTAGGCTAGCTTGTGAGTTCCTGGCGTGTGTGCTGCGTTGCCTGGCAACAGACTGGGGGAACTGTTTTTTGTTTTTTGCGGAGCTACATAACATACTTAAATAATTTATTTCATCACCTTTTGTTAACATTTCCGTACTCAGCATTGCTGTTTAAGCTGTTGTTGAACTGTTGTATAAAAGCAATATCACACTCGAGGTCGTGACGTTGTACTGTATATCGTCACGGTTGTAATTGTCACCGAATCATAGCCGTGACAATATACAGTACAAAATCACTCCCTCTCATGTGATGCTGCTTAAACACCTCCCTGTTTACACATCTAATCCCTTGAGATAGTGAGTTGCCTACAAATAAAACATAAAATACAGACAAGAGTCCTGCTCTGTTGTGGCTTTTTAGAGACGTTAATCTGATGGGTTTAACTTAGCAAAAGGTGATAAAGACAACTGCCTCACAGTAAGTAACAAACCCTCATCAGTGAGACAAGAGAAGTCACTATTACAGAGTTCCTATGTCTCATTGAATTTCAACAGAAAAGCATCTGTAAAGGTCATGTGGGGGAATATAATAAATGATCTCGGAGAGTCTGAGGAAATATTTTAAAAAAAATACAGCTGAGTCACTTTAAAAGAAAATAGAATGTGTGTGTTTTTTATATGAATCACGGATTAATTGCTTTTGATGGTGGTTTTTAGTCCAGCTGGAATCAATTTTGGACCAGACAACCACTAAGAAAGAGAAAAAACAAACCAGAAGAGATTTAATTTTTAGATCAAGGAATCTTTCTGAATCAGCCTTAAACACATCGACATTTAAATCAGCTGGTAGAAACTCATACAGTAATAACATTCTTTGAATAATATCTGCATAAAAAACTGCATGTATCTGAAAATGTTATCAAGGTTTCTTCCATGCCATCAAAAATTATTAGTCTTAAATTATTTTCATGAAGTTAATGGCTGATGGATTTAATGTTCAGATTTGACACAGATGATGAAACCAGCTGCTGTTGGTCATTTAGCTTACTGCTCTGAAACTCTTCTCTGTCAAGCAGTTGGAGTAAATGTGAGTTTTTTGATTGATCATTTGGCCTGCAGACTGAAGGCAGTAACTTCAGAAATGTGATGGGTGCAAGCTTTTGTTTACTTCTCATTGGAGCCTCAAGCCCCTGAGATCCACTGTTGTTTGGTTCTGCAGGGCATTCATCAAACGTAAAGACTACCTGTACAACCAAAACAACAAACCTGAAATTAATGCAATTTCCTTTGATTAACCTTTGTTCTGCATGTTCATGTGTTAACAGTAATGAAAACTGAAATGACAGCATTGTACAAATCATAAAGTTAATCTCAAGACAGATGGCAGAGACAGCCATTTTTCTTTATTTGCTCACAAAAGTCAGTGAAGCATTTTTTCTTGAGGCTAGACATTGCAGCATATTTCTGCAGGTGTAGAGCTGTACAGCTGTAGAGACCTTTCAAGGACAGACTATATGACTATTGTCAATATGGATAATAAAAAGAGACAGTGAAGTTTTAATTGTGTTAGTTCACCATAGATGTATGATAATAACTAGAAACTGGACCCCAAGATGGCGTCAATTCAGTCCAATGGAATTGCTTGCCTGCCACATATGCCAAAAAAAGTTTCTAGCATTTGGGTTTACTTTCAGGTTATGTGGCTCACTGAATATGTGCAGTAGTTGTCACATCTAGTGCAGAAGAACCCAGAGGCAGACAATGGCAGGTTAACAGTCTTTATTACAGAAGTTCATCAGGAACAAATGGAGGGAATGGTGTGGAAGCCAGGTGAAGCAGATGAATGGTTCCAGATAGGAGGGCTGCTGGCGGGCTTGTGGTTCGAATGTCCGGCAGGGCTGGCAGGTTGGCTTTCTAGCAGACAGAAGAAAAAGTCAAAACAAGTTTCAAAAAACTCTGAAGGAGCAAAAATCTTTGCTTAAAGCTGGCTGGTGTCACGATACACAAACTGTGTGTTGAAGACAATCTGGCAGGGACTGCAGGTCAGACTCAGCTCTTGCAGTGGCTGGGTGATGATGAGATGAGGCTCAGGTGTGTGAGGCAGCAGAGGCAGGAACAGGTGTAGATGATTGCTGGGCTGGCAGAGGACAGAGTGCAGAGTGGGGGGGCACAAGCAACCTGGCTGACAGCCATAATCCAGGAGACACTGTGACAGTAGTGCTTCTTGTGCTGACCCTGCCTGCAAGTTCCGGCTTGGCTTATAGAGTTTACATTGTGATGACTTTCTCGGCTCAAGGTAAGTTTTACAAATATGAAACCTCCATGGATCAAAAATTCATAATGGAAAGAGCCATAACTTACATCGTTTGCATTTTGAGATGTGCCGTCAACAGTTTTACAGACCTCTCTTTACAGTGGTGGTCTATAGGGAAATGGCTTTTTGGCCACTGGGAAAAATTGGAAGCAAGGTTGAGTGGTGTTCCTGGGGGCTTATACTTCACAGCTTGAGACTGTGTAGGAGAAACTGATTGAAAATCAGGAGCTATGTATTTACTCCATAAACTTCAATGCATGTATTTAAAAATGTTCTGTAACAATCACAAGTGATGGACATTGGAAAATGTTTTGATATTGATCCTTCAGTGTTAATGTCTGTTATCAGTTTTCAATTTAATACACTGTGTAATCTGAGTTAGAATGCTATAGTGTGACTGAGTTTTCTGACTGAGAGGGGCCTGTTTGGACTACCCAACAAAATATAGGTGTCCCGTGTGGTTAATTTAAGTCTGAAAAGCATCCAAATTCTGTTACGATGCTGCCTCTAATTTCAAGGAAATGATGTTATGTTCTCTGAACCCACTGAGGAATTTTGCAACCTATATGTAGCAAAACAAAGAAACCATGACACATATTCTGTTAGAGAGTGTATCTTATCTCATGATAGAGGTATGCCGGCCATTAGTCATTATTTATAAATGCAGTTTCATCTGCCAATGATCACACAGCTGGCTCATGAAGTGATGTATCTGACTGAGTCAGTCATTATTAGTCATTGTTCAAATTAATGAAAGTACTTTTTTCACCTCTAATCTAAGTGTTTTGAGGCAGACTCCTGCCTACAAATCAGATGTTTCATTTCAGTCTGTCATCTGCATATGCACAGACTCAGCCAGACGTGAGATCGGTGTGAGAATATTACTGTAAGTCAGTGAACATCTCATTTGTAATCCATCTGTTCAGTACAAACAGATTTCCTGTTTCACAAAAAGAACTGCAACACCCATAATAATTCTTACTGATGATCCTACAGAGAGGGAACAGGCTTCACAGCTGCCTCTAAACAACACACATTCCTATGACAAAACAATATTAAATCCAGGATGACTCCAATAATGACACCAAGTTTAAATCAGTATTATAAATGAATATGATAAACATCGATTCTCACCCCTACATCAAAGTTTTCACAATATTCAACCAACATCAGACATATTAATCTAGGCTGGCCACATGCAAGTTCATTCTTTCTATCAGAAATGATTGTTTTTACAGCAAAAAGTCCATAGAAAGAGAGAATTGTATTCCACTCTGGCTGTAGTAGCATATTGCAATTCTTAGTGTTTTGCTACTGTTGACTAATTGTACACTGCTGCTGTTCTGCTGGCATATGGCACTAATAAACACCATGTTGCTTGTGTTTAATCAGCAGATACCACTTCCCATAGGCATATGCTAAAGCCCCATTTCCACCAAGCAGTTCAGTTCAGTACACATTTTTTCTGTTTCCATGGTGAAAAGTTGTGGAATTGTTCCAATGGAACCCATTTTTGGTTAAGTTTTACATATATTAGTACACTTTTAGTAATGAGTGGATCTTCAAGTGTTTAAAAATATACATTAATTTTGACTGGATTACAAGTGTTAGGTGGAAACGGGGCTTATGTCTCACTGGCATATGCCATTGTTGTGGTGACATTATGCTGTATAGCCTAACATACAGTGCTGTTACACTAACAGATACCACTTCTTACTGGCTTGAAGAATAATGAAAATTTAAATAAATTCCATGACATTTTACATAATGGCCACTGGCTTCAAGTTAACATTAATGGTCAAATCACTGGTGCATGTTGCATATTTAACATTGTAAAAATAATTCATATATAATACTGTGGGCCCACAGTATTTCATGTCATGTTTACATGCTCCATATGCCTAACTCAAAGAAGTATTTCACTGCTGGAAAGATGGTCTTTTCACAACACTAGGCTGTTTATGCAGTAGATGCAAATAATTTTGACATTTTTGCTATAGCACCAGAGAAAACTGAGAAAAAGGGCTGTAGCACTTGCATTTGCTCAAGAGGTAAAGAACATACAACTACCAGAATGCACAGCGCCGCTCCAGACCAATAAACACCGGTGGGTGACATAATGCAAACTGGTCCATTTCACACAATGGCGGCTGGCTGCTAACAAACACAGTAAGCTCAAATATGTTCCTGATACATTTTAGGTGATAAATAGGCAACGCAGTAACAGCATCTTGGTTTATATTTGATCAGCGTTTGATCTCAGTTTTTTGGCCTACTTTTTCAGTATGCAGGAAGCAGTATGGCACCCACTTCCTGTTCAGAAAGTCCTGCTGTTACAGCAGAACAGAGCACTGAAATACATTTCTGAAGTAGGCATTGTGGTAACAGAATCTTGGTTTATATTAGATGAGCACTGCCTCGTTTTACCATTTCATCTAAGTTTGGTCTAAGTTTGAGAGAGAGAGGGAGACAAGACCATCTCTTCATCCACTATCATCCATCTATACTTTTTGTGTCTGTGGGACGGTATGGGTGGCGGGCAATACCAAAATGTGGATTTACAACCTGTAGTTGGAGCAACAGCCCAAGAGCCAGCAAAACTCCAGGTAGCAGGTAGATCTAGACACTGGTTAGATAGCAGGGAGTTTACAACAGTTCATCTACACAAACTACCCACATTGTTGTGATACAAAGCTGGTGGAAAATCAATTAAGTATCCCTTTAAGTTTACTATAATAAAGTAACCACAAACCGTTTTACACACAGAAAACCAGGGGCAAGGTAGTGTTATCCAGCAAACATGTAACAGTCTCTGGGAACCTGCAGGTGACAGGATATACACACTTCACAAAGGATAGGAAGTGGGTTAGTGGTTCAAATGGGGCCCAACAGCAAATGTTTGACCCAAGACCCTCAAACAAGTTGATTCAGTCATGGTGTTAGGTGGTACTTGCCAGTGGCACATGTCAGTGGAACATAAGTAGCATACCATATGCATGTGAATCAGTCAGATCAATCAGTATATGCTGGTGGGGAGTAAAATTTTCCCTATTTATTCTGTTTTTGTTTGTTTGTTTTTCTTCTCTCTAGGTGTCCACAGGAAGCAGGGAGGACTTGATGACCGACTATTTCACCAGAAGTCCCGCCCCCTCAGCTCCAGCTGGCAGAGATCAGGTGACTCCCACCAGCTATGTCACACCAACTGTACAGTCATCCAACCAGAGGCCGGGCCAGAGCGTCAAGCCATCACCTCGCCAGCCTGTAGGTCAGTCCCCAGCCTCAGGTCAGCCTGTCACCCAGAGAAGCAGCCAGTCACTGAGCAGAGCTTTCAGCCTAGCCTCAGCTGATTTGCTGCGCTCCAACGGACCAGACAGTTTCCGTGGAAATGAAGGCCAATCAGACGCAGTCGTTAGGAGACAAGGAGGAGGGGCCAGTGGGAGAGAACGGCCGCTGTCAGCTCGGCTGGCGGGTCCGACCAATCAGCATGGAGATAGCAGCTTTCTAAATCCGCCTATTCACCATTCGTCCTCTCTCAATCTGCAAACGGAGAGATACGCAGAGAGAGAAAGAGACAGAGGGAGGACTCCCGTCTCTCGGAACGGCCCCACTGCTTCCTCCTCCTACCACCACCGTGGAGAGGTCGCCATGGTAACCCCTGTCAGGGCCGTGCCTGCCCCACGACCTGATGAAGCCTCAGAGCATGGGGAAGTGTTAAGGGAGGGGCGGTCAGGTGACTCCTCCCACTTAAAGAAAGAAAGTGACAGAGCGAGGTGTGGGTCTGTGGAACGCCCGAAAAGCACTCCTGCTTCCCCTGACCCCAACAACGACCCTCAGACTGTGTGGTATGAGTACGGCTGTGTCTAAACACTGACATTAATGAACGTCTATGGGTGTGGCTGTGACTAAAGACGGGAATACTGGAGCTTTACGGGCTGAGTCCAAACCCTCAGACACAAGTAATCAGTCTCTGGACTGTGCTCTTTGTACTGTGGATAAATGTTATGACTCTTGAAGTGTACGGTTAAGCTTTGCTCATACACAACATCAACTGGAAACAAGACTAAATCCTGGAAAGCAAAGCCACATTTTAAACAAATCTCTACATGAAAGAGTTCAGTTTGTCTTTTCGGGAACAAACTTTTTTTAGACAAGTAACCAAACCTGATACCATACACGTCACCTGCCAATACAGCTGATTAAAACAGTCTATCAGGAAGCTTCTTAAAGTGAAACAGCTGCACACAAACAATCACATCACATCTTAAATACTGGATCTATAGAGTCAGTGTCCTTTTGGCATTTTTCATCTCAAGCTGAATCTCTCTCAAGAGGATGGGATATAGATTTGAGCTCAATCATTGATTGCTTTTTTTAAGGATTTAGACGTGGACATCACAACACTAGATGGTCTCTAAGAATGCTGGAAATCATTGGTCTCTGCTGTTTTATTATCACCGTGTTTACTGTGATCCAGCAAAAATCCAGGGCCCACAGGATGTTTTTTTTTGTTCTGGGGCAAAGGAGCCACCAAAAGAGATTTTTTAAAAAGGTGTTGTAATTACTCGCTGTTTTAAAAATTAACAGTGGATATTTTAACCAGATGATGATTCAGATTTTTTTTAAGAGTGCTAATTTTAACAAATACAGAAATGGAGATGGGAGCTGAGATGTCTAAAGTTCGAGAATCCCTAACACTTAAAGCCTGCAGGAACAGAGGACAAGTGCTACATGCATAGTTGTGGACCGAAATACTAAGAATGGGCTTAGTCTATGAGCTGGAACTCTTTGACTACTGACTGACACGCTGTCCGGTCCTGCTAATGTTTACCTGGATGCTACCAACTCAGCAGAACTGTACGGCAGGAATTAGCCGGCACCAAGATGAGTGATTGAACTAAAGTGAAGGCAACCAGAAGCACCAGAGCGACTGAATGTATCAGATTTCTCCCCCTTTTTTGTCCTCTTCCTTTTCCTTCATTATCTAGATCAAACACTGGGAAAGACCAGTGAGAGAAAGGAAGGAAATGGAGGAATGTAAGCAAAGAGAGTTGAGGCAAGTGAAGGAGAAATGAAGTGAAGAGATAGAGGGTGAGAGTAAATTGAGGGATGCTGGGATAGAGAGCAGTGGACAGATATAGAGATGGACAGAGTGACGGGAGGACGCATAGATAAACAGGACAGAGATGGTGGTGCTCCTCCCAGTTAAATTACAGTCTTTCTCCCTCCATCTTTAGATTCTGTCCCAGCATGCAACACTCTGATACTTTACTGGAAATGTTGCTCGGCCTGAGCCAACACTAGTTTCACAAACACACACCCATACGCATTCGTACACACACATAATGATATATACAGACACAGAGGAATTGTCCTTGAGGGGTTGGTTGTGGCTTCGCTGACCATTGAGCTGGACGTAATTCACACACATGCACACACACACACCACTGGGTAAACCACTGTGTTTTGGTTGGGTGTACTGCTGCACGCTAAGTTAGCGAGACAGTTGTAAGCACTGCACAACAGAGAGGAAGAGAGAGAGAGAGATTCAGACTGAATCCAGACCCACTGTAATCTGGATGGTAGAATATGTATGTCATGAATCAGCTTTGTTTTATAATGCACGAATGCACCAAGTGTTTGACAATTTCCTCTGTTGGTAAAGATGACTTTGTTCTCATTACACAATGGGTCCAAGTGGCTCTGGTGAATCTCTGACTTTGGTGCACCATGCTCACATTTTACACCAGCATACACACCGTTATGTTGGTCAACACGTCATGTATCATTTGTTCTACTCATATTCAATAGAGTATCCAAAATCAGAAAAATGAAAAACAATGTTATTTCCTTATTCATTCATAAATTTTTGTTTATCTTGTTTTTGTACTTGAAATTTTATGCTTAAGTCATAAATAGTTAATGCAAATACAGGCCATGGAGCAAATTTGAACATGATCATTAATACAATTGTGCAATTCCTGAAAAAGTCTTAAAATGTCTTACATTTAGTTATATGAATATTAGACCTTTATAGTCATGAAATTACTTTATACTTGCACTTATCTGTTGACACAATATTGATTAACCTAACTCACTTTTATAACCATATTCCTACATAAACCTTAAATCTGCACGGGATCACATTTATACTGTTCACCTTTATACTTACCTGCAGTACTTGAATAAGAAAGATGATTTGCCCAAAAATCAGTCTTAAATTTGATAAGAATTATCTTCAAAAGGTCTTAAAAGGCATTAAATGTAAATTTCTGATACCTGTAGACACCCTGATTTAATGTGTTTGATCTGTGTGAACAGGAAGTCCTCGACTTTTTTTGTGTCTTGTATTTGATAAACATGTAGCAAATAGAAAACGGGTTAAAGTTGCTGCCTACAGTCTAACTCGCTGTATCCATGGTGATGTTATACGTCCTGCTGCTATTAACGTGACATTTTCCAAAATACTTTGTTGGAAGAAAAGAACACTTACGTTGATGTTCAAACTCTGTTCAGTACATTAAATCAGGTGGCACCATCGCCCAAGTGTATTTGCTACAAAGTAATGCCACTGTCGCAAATAATTTTCAAGGTCGGAATAAAATCATGAGATTTACCTCAGTTGGTGCGCACTCCCATGGTGTCAATTGTTTGGTGTAAGGCGGTCATAAAACTCAGTCCAAGCTGTCTTAAATCCATCTTTTTTTCATCTTGATGTTATTACAAGTCTTTAGTCTTAGGTCGTGTAAATACTGCAGTTCAATGATGTGAACATTGTCAACAACCCATAGCTGTGCTCTCTACAGCACCAAACAAGAAGCAGCAAATGGGGTCAACAGTAGTAATGGAGGGGACTCTGAGGAGGCGCAAGAATGCGAACAGGTCTTGGTTCTCTTGTTCTGTGGAAAAGGAGGAGAAATGGAGTTGTTGAGTAAACAACAGTCAGTGTTAAATGTGCGTGTATCTGATCCACCAACCAGCACTTAGTTAAGTGAGAAATCTATCTATTTTGATGCTGAATTTACAAGAATACTGTCGAGATATGAGGACTTTTATCTTGTGTATCCAGAATTATGCGTTTTAAAGAAGAAGCAGGCCATCCTTTGTTAGTATCTTAAGGGGAAATTTGTGGACATGTAAGAAATGGTAAATATGGCATATTTTTTAAAGGGAGTTTAGAGTAATATTTCCCACCAGGTGCAGGATGGGAAATAATCTCAAGAGGAATCTAGTTGTAGTCTTGCAAATAGTGACCCTGTAAAACCCACAGTCTTAGTAAAATCCTACAATGTGAGACTAAAAGCTCACTTTTTCTTTAGCTGTCAGAGGCTGTCAGACTTTAGTGTTTTTATATTCTTTGCAAAGACCTGGTCACACATATCAGACATAATGGATCATAGTCAATTTTTTCATTTCCTATTTTTGACTCAAGCATAAAGTCGAAGTACAAAAAAAACAAGCTGTCATGAGGGTTTTTTTTATTTATTCATTAATGACTAGCATAACATTGTCTTTACATTTTCTGATTTTGGATTCCATTTTGAATATGAAAAGAAGGAATGATAAACAGATTGGTCACACAGCAGGTTGATGTTCTCTCACTTTAGTAACAACAGTAATCTTATAGTGTCTGCGTTTACATGACAGTAGAGCAAACCAATTTATTTTTAGTCCAACTAAAACAGGATTTTTCAAAAACATGTTAGTCCAACTGAAATTGGACCAAATCAGATTTCTCATAATGAGTAACACACCCAGAAAATGCCATTGGGAGTCGAATTACTCCCGCATGTATACAGTTAGGCGGACCCAAACTGGCCCAGGTGCTCTGTGCATGCTCCACAGTTTTGGCCTCTGGCCATGACCTGGAAGTCAAATAGCATTAAATACATAACAGAAGAAGAAGCCAGTAACAACATGGCGAAATCTACATCCAGAGCTGTGCATTTTTGGACGGACTAAATGTACAGAGCTGTAAAGTTGTCCACCATGGTACCAGTTTGCCGCTAGCTAACCGTAGCTTACCAGTTGTTTGGTCTGTGACGTAATAGGTCAGCTGGAGAAAGGTCCAGTACTAACAAGCTGACAGGGGGCGTATCGCCACCTACCGTAGTGGAGTCCCATGCTTGTATATTGGGACAAGGACAGTAGTCCAGTTAAATGGCCAAGTAGAGCTATAACTGTAGCTCATGGTGCCACATTTAACCGAAATGTGTCTGAAACACACACACACACACACACAGGGGCACACATAAGAGAATTGAGTTAAGACTGAGAATCACGCATCATCTCACACTACATGACCTCAGTACTGGATTGTTTTTATATCTTACCACTCATCTTCCTGTCTGAAACTTGAAACACAAAAGGAAGACGCACACAAAGTTGAGGTTTTACTGGAGACACACGTATGGTTTCACGTATGGTTTCTGGTGATGACTGTTGGGGGGATTTTGAAATACTTGGTGTATTATTAGAGGGCACTGAACAGAGGGAAGAGGAGGATGAAGAGGTGGGAGAAATGAATTGAAGTATGCCTTGGAGAGAGATGATGATGATAATGGGAGACAAAAAATGAATCTCATGCTGATTATGCTGATGAACTGACCTTTTGTCTGTACTGCTGTCTGTAAATACAAACCTGTCCCTCCTGCATTATTAACAACTGACAGTAAAGACATTCCTAAAAGCACTAGAATGATGATGATGAGGAGGAAGAAGATGTAACACTGGAGTTAAGGAAAATGAAGATTTGACTGGAATCCATCACTAACCTTACTGCTCACCTTCTGAACAAAAAGCACATGTCAATATGCAAAGAGCTAAATTATTTTACCTGTAACATTTGTACATGATATTAGATTTTATAAACTGGGCAGATGTGAGACTGGGGATACTTTTTGTAAAATTGTCTGGAGCTTCACTTTGAAAATGTTTGATACCAAAAAACAAATCCATATTAATTCCTGTAAACTGGTAAAAAAAAATGTGGTCCCAAGATTTGTAGATTTTTAAAAAAAAAAATAAAAATGCTAGTAGTGAGAAGATGTTAGCAGATGAAGTAACATGATATTACTCACTGTAGACTGCAGGCTGATGCTGTCGATGGTGCTGCAACCTGTCTGCCTGTTGTGGGGTTGGTGTGTGTTGCCTTGTTTGTGCTGCACTTAAAGCATCTCTGCATTATTAGTTTCCAAAGCCTCTCAGGCCATTTCTGTGTGTGTGTGTGTGTGTGTGTGTGTGTGTGTGTGTGTGTGTGTGTGTGTGTGTGTGTGTGTCAGTCAATTTCAGTTTGCTGACGTCAATAGAAAACCATATTGAACCCAGAGAAACAATATTTCTTTAGAGGAAATAACACCATCACACACTTGTGTTTCGCATTATCAGTTATTGGCTTTGTGAAAAGTGTGTGTTCTTGTGTGTCTACTTGTCTCTGTGCCCGCTTTGCTGGAGACCAATCTGTCCACCTGTCCTACGGATCCATTATACACCAGTTTGGGTGAGATTGTTTGTATTGGTCTGCTTAACCTGCTTAAAACAACACCAAAATCCTCAGCTTGACTCTGGTGCTTCCCGCTCAGGGGACCAACAGGCTGATTTCCTGAACTCTTGGTGTTCTCTGTGTGCAGGTCTCAGCACCAGACGATTAAAAAGGACACCAAATCGCTGCAGGACGTTGCAGCGCCACATGAGGGAAGTGAAAGCAGAAGATGAAATAGAGCTGACGTCACTGACATTTCCTGCTGCAACTGGAATAACTTTAGTTCACTTTATGAGCATCGCTGACTGCTATGCTGTGGTGTGACTACTGTAATAAGGCTACTAGTGTGATTCAGTAGAAACTGAGATTGATATTATTTCACCCAAAAGCTTTTTGGTAATAAAGATTTATAAACTTCAATGTCATTGTGTCAGCTGGTGCATTAACTGAGTGGCTTTCTTTTAGGACAAATGTTCTTCATAGGTGGTGTGTCAGATGCTGCTTTCACAGGCTGTAGGGCTTTTTCCATACAACTGTTAAAGTATGAATTATATTACTGGTGGCGCTGTCCTATTTACGTGTCCCAGTAAACCATAATGTTATGACAGCGAGCCCAGGGTGTCAGCAGTTCCTTAAAAAGTCCTTAAAAAATGTATTAAATGTTATAAATATTTGGCCTTAAAGGTTATGAAATGGTCTTAAATGTAAATTAGTGAGGTCTGAATTGTCATGTATATTTCAGCTAATTTCATTTATCCATCTTTTGATTTCTTTTTGTCTAAATGAGTCAAGCTTTTCTGCTTGACGAGTATGGAAGCATATATGAGACGCAAGCATTTGAATTTTAAAAGGGACTGAATACTTCTATTGAGATTTAAATGCCACTGAATTCATAGTATTGAAATGTTTTATTTTGAAAACCATGTGTCTGAATTTATTTGTTCTGAAATCGTTTTTAAATCAAAACATGAAATTTCAAAAGCTGAATTTAAGTTTTGTTTTTTTTAGTGTTCAAAAATCCAAATTCAAAAATTTTCAAAAAATAAAGCAGATTCAGGTTGCTCAATTTTAAATGGTCAGATTCAGATCTAAAAATTCAAGTTTAATAAATTTCATATTTTAATTTCAAAATATCGCTAATATAAAAGTCCACATTTCCATTGTGTCTTTAAACCTACCACTGAGCCTAATACTTTACACTTGCACTTACCTTTTGGCAAAATGTAGAGTAACCTAACTCACTCTAATAACCATAGTCCTCTATAAAACCAGCCTCTACACACACATATACTACCTACCTTTATACGCACAGCAATGCTTGAATAAATAAAGGATGATTTGCCCAAAATATAAATCTTAAATTTGATTAAAAACTATCAAGGTCATAAAAAGCATAACTGTCTGATACCTGTAGCCACCCTGCAGTGATCCACCTTGTACAATACAAGGGCTCTGAAACTGAAGCAGCTAATTGAATTTGATTATTTACACCTGTCCCTCGTTCCCAAAGGGTTAACCCTAACCCTTTTTAATGCGCAAGTTAAAGGACCTGACAGGATTACTTTTCACTAGCACTGTATCTGATATGATTTCATGTGACCAAAAAAACGACTGATTAACCTAATGTTTCCCAGAGCACCTGAAGGCACCGTGAGCATCCCAGGCTGCCACAGATTGTGATCCAGTGATGTTGACATGCACTCTTTTGCTCCTAATCAATGTGTAAGACTATGAATGTGTTAACGGGCAACTGTTTGCTAACATGGTCACTATACAGTTACAAGGCATTATGGTGATGATGGCAGTATAACTCAATGAATGGAAAAGACAGACAGATAGATAGATAGATAGATAGATACATAGATAGATAGATAGATAGATAAAGTCTAGCATAAATCCAATAGCAAAACAGGCTGCAATGTAATCACTGCAGGCAACTGAGCACCATGACTTTAAGTCCAACAAAAGTGCTTGTCACTGACAGGCTCAGATTATTATTAAAAGTGTCCGGTGACATTATGAAAAGGATCCATACAGAGATAGACCTTTTGTAAAAGAGTAAGATCCTTTTAGTTTGACCAGAAACAGCCCCAAAATCACTATCACCAAACACACCAAACTCAGTTTAACTAAACATTTTAGCATATATTCAGCCAGCATGTTTTCACGTCTTATGGGGTGTATACAGGGTTTATTTCCACCAAACCAGAGATGGTGATTGTTGGAACAGTGGAATGACAACAGGATGGCTTTTGTAAGTTAGATAAAGTCTGGTGGGTCTGACAATAGCGATTTGGGGGCCGTCTGGTTAAATAAAAATGATCTTACCCTGTGACAAAGATGTCTGTCTCTGTAGAGATCTTTTCCATAATGTTGTCAGACACTTAGAATAACAATCTGAGCCTGTCAGTGGCAAAATCAAGCCCTTTTAGTGGATAGTAACCTGATGGTGCACAATTGCCCTTAGAGATTACATTGCAGCCTGTTTTGCTGCTGCCAAGTGCAGCCCTGTTGCTCAATACTGGGCCAATTTCAAAAATTGTTTTTCCCATTTATTAATTGGACACAAAAACATGGGAAATAAGGGCCAGGTTGAAAAATACCAGAGGTACCCTTTAACAGTCCCAGTAAATTAAACAAAAAAACTTTGCGTTTGGTTTGTAGACAGAATTTTCTATGGTGGGAATTTGCTTTGGGCTCATGCTTAGATTTATTTATTTATTTATTTATTTGTGAGATTTTGGACTAATTTGGACACCTGCTCAGAGTTTATTTTCTGGAAGAATGATGTTCATCTCTCGTTAGACACTTGTAGAAGGTGCATTGAAGCTGCTTTGGCAGCCCACGGTGGCCCAGCGACACCTCACTGACACACTCTGTTGGTTTTTCCTTTGAATTGTCGCCCACCGTAGGCTCCTACACATTATTGCATCCATGTAGGAGGGCAGTTATTAGTCATATACTATAACAGGCCCACGCGGATTCTGCGGGGAATCAGAATTCTGACACCTCCACTGATATTTCTTTTGCATGTTGTCTATCAGATCATATGAAAAAAAGAAAAGAAACTAACAGATTTTTTTATTTGGATCACTGCTGCTGAAAACTTTAAAAAAAAAAAAAAAAAAAGTCCGCAGATTCCGTTTAGGTCTGTTTATGAGATGGTAATAGGCTACATCACCAGACATATAGGCATATATTTTAAACAGCACGTGGTTTAAACGTGGTTTTCATCTTGACACATATCTGGCATTTACTGAGTGTGTGTAGGCAGAGTGTGTGTGTTTCAGGAAGAGAGAGCACGCGCGCCTGTGTGTAAGCGACAGAGAGGCAGAGCTGGCGGTCAGTTTGATGCAGATCTTCAGACCGGAGAGATACGGTAAGAAATAAGCGTCTTTATTTAATCTCTGTATGTTTTAAATACCGAATAGGCTACTGAACAGTAGCGCTGATGTGTGTTTGCGGACTAACTGCAGAGAGTTTCTTTACCAGCTCTATCAGATATTTGGTGTTGGCAGCTGAAGTGACAGCGGGTTCCTGTTGAATGCTGATCATTATGGAGCGTTCAGTGTGAAGAGTGAAATGTAGTCAGAATGCCTGTACGGGCTCTTTAGTCCAGAGTTATTAATTATTTATCTTAACTATCAAGGGGTGTCAGTCAGTGGGCTGCTGGTGTGGAGACAAACACTGTTGGAGTCAGGAACATTTTCCATCACTCTGACTGGACTTCATGTATTGTGTGAAGCTGAGGGAGGAAAAGCTGCAGCTACTGCAGATTTCATATGGCTATTATTATTTTCACAAGCTGACTGTAGAGCTTTATGTAATATTCATAGAGCAAGGCAACCATGTGTGGATCAGTGACTGGTAAAGGAGTGTTGGAGCATGTACCTCATATTAATATGTTGTGGTCCATTGCTTTCCCTGTAGTATTCAACTATACAGATACAAAATATGAAAATGAAAATATAATAGGGTAAAGTCCCCTCTGGGTTTCAATGTAATGACTCACAGGTTGACTGGCTAATGTGTGGCTGGTTGTCGGATTGGAGACGGGAACAGTAACTGAGTGACTGATTAAAGGTAGGATCTGGAGGATTTTCAAACAAAACAAAATATAGACATATACAAATGAAATCCTGCTTAATCATCACCTATGGGCTTCTACTCATGTGTGGTGGTGACTCTGTTTGCAGAGCTCCTGCCCTTCTGGGCAGAGATTTTCCCAGCCAGTGCAAGACTAGAGCGCAGGTGCCGTGCCCGAGCGTGAGCCTTGCCTGAACCTCTTCTGTGAAGCCTTCTTCCGTACCTCCGGGCTCCGTACACCCGGGAGGGTTGAGCCTGATAGGAGGGGCCAAATTTGAATGTGTGTTTACAAACAGCAACTGGAAAACCCTCCAGACCCTACCTTTAAATGAATGGATTACTGGACCATTTTTAAAGAGCGACTTCAACCAAAATACAGAACAAGCTTATATCCTCACTTGGTGTCCAGTCGTTTGATAGGCTTTAGTTTTGAGATCTTCACTGCTGCGATTTTGCCATCACACCAAACAGTGGAGATGAATGAGATTTTACTCTCAGCACTCATATCTTTGAATCAAACCAAATGAGACCAAAACTCTGTCGGAAATATGATGGGTGCAAAGATGCATTTCAATCTTACACGCAGACTTCCCCTTTCCTTCTCAAGTGCCTTTAAATCCATATTTCTTTAATAACCATTGACCAAAGGATTATGTGTGATGTGAAGGGGGCTGCTCAAAACTGTGTACACAAAATCTAAACACTCTTTAGTATAAGGACTATATTCTTTTCATGATTCTCACTGTGATTGGGCTTTTGTTTGCAGACTGTTCAATTGCTTTCTATGATCAATGAGATGTGTTGAAAGCTTCAGGTAAATCTTGTAAGCTGACCTTGAGTTTAGATTTTTATTTGTCATGCTCTACCTTTACACAATGTCTTGTTCAACACTGTGGCCCCAGAAGTTTTCATAGGGGAGGTCAAATGAGGCCACTGAAAATCTTGTGTCACACCAAAACCAAAAGTCCTGACTGAATTTCTGGAATCTGATAATGCTCTGGAAGTATAGGCTATCTGAAAACTATGACAGCATGAGGAATGAAGGAATCACATACTGTATTAATATACTTTGGTTGCTTATTTTATAGTTAATATTACCGATTATCTGATGTGCATAGACTACTTCAGTTACCATTTTGAGTTCTGAGACAATCCTGTTATAAAGGTTGGGTGTGTAAGATTTGAAGAATCTACAGGCAGGCCTGGAATATAATATTCATAACTATGTTTTCATTAGTGTATAATCACCTAAACTAAGAATGGTTGTGTTTTTGTTACCTTAAGGCTCAGATACACCAAACCGATACTAGTGGCGTATGGCATTCTGCGCCTGTGTGAGAGGACTTACCCCTCCAGACCAGCAGGTGGCGATGGTCTGTAATGTCATTAAAAAAGGGAAACCGGAATACTGTTCTGACACTCATAGCCAGTTAGCACATCAACAACACAATCCAGTGTTGAAATAACAGAGCATATTTACCGTGCACTAGTGAACAGTAACACAAACCATCAGCAAGTGTTTCTGCTTAAGAGCTCAGTGACGAAGAAAAACAGTCTTATCTCATGTAACAAGTTTGTTTCAACCTCACGCCCTCTTGACTTTAGCTCTTTGTGTACATTCCTTGCTTCTCTTTTCCTGCACTGAGCTGATCTGCCAGTCAGAGTGATTTAATTCACTGACGGCCTCCACTGTGCCAACACCTATTCAATATGCGGAACTGGCGGAAAAAAGGCCAACTAGCACCGATGAGGGCCAAAGGTACAGGACACACTGCACTGACAAGGATGGCAGATGCTCAACAACAACCCAACTTTGACTTTGGCTAACTGTCAGCTTGGTGTGTCAGGGCCTTTAGAATGAGCCCTTTATAAAGACAGATGGAGCGGGTCCTCCTCATTGTTGTTTTTTGTGGCTCAGAACAGATTAGTCAAACACAGGCTTTAGATAGGGCCATTTATGTTTTTTGCGTTTTTGGATCGGCCACCATCGTTCTCCTACATGCTTGGCACACGGGAGAAGTTTCATTTGGTTGCCTAATGGTTAACAGTGTGTCCTAAACAGAGAATGGGGGAGTGTTTAATAGTTGGATGTAATGTTATTCTATAACCATAGCAACAAGATTGCAGCTGCAGTGGTTTGGAAAACAGCACTTTGATGAATTTACTGTTTATCCAACACATTCTCACTCTGACCTCGTCACATATTGACGTTTTGGTCATAGACTTTCCATGTCCACATGCGACGTGGAAGGTACCGTGGTTGTTGAGGTTCTGGGACACCGTGTCAAGTTCTACTCTTTTAGATACACTTATGTTTTCACAGGAAATTTAACCTTTACAAACAGTCTCTTTCAAAATAAATGCACTACGTCTGCACAACACCGTGAATTGACTTTTTTTTTTCCTTCAACAACAAACACACATGGTTGGGTTTGGGCAACAAAGGAAGTGGTTAGGTTTAGGAAAAAATAACAGGGCCTGGCTTTAGAATCTTACAGGACGCAAACAGTCGTGGTTTGTTGGACCCATCCACCAACCCCACCACACGCCCTACTCGGATTCTGCCGCCTTAAATTTCGTCTTTGTCCCGCTGCGTTTCTCCTTGACGCTGCCAGGCACCTTTAAACTATAAGGGCAACTGGCTGCGTTAAAGGACACCTTTTTTGCTTCCGTTTCTGACGCTGCAAGTCACTGCCCACGCGCCGGATTTCGATGACTTCAGAGTGAGACCGTTTTCATTGATCAGAGCACAAATGAGACACCAACTAGCACAACGCACCAACTCTCTCTCTCACGTTCTCTTCTTTACATCTCCTCCTGCTGCACCTGTCAGTTGTGTAGTGACGAGGGATCGGGGAGCCACATGGCTGCACACTGGCTACAGTGCACCAGAGAAAGGATAGATATGTTCCTGAGGTCCGCTTTTTCCTTATAGGCATTCGGAGGCGCACCATCCACCAACACTGGCTGCTCTCGCCTCAGCTCAGCACCGCCAACGCCCCAGGCAGCACTGTGATACATTTTATTTTTTCTAACTGGACTTTTTGAGTTAAATTTTGTGCACTTCCCAGTGTCCGGACCTGTTGGAGGCCAATGCTGGTGGACGGTGCCAACTTTGAACATGTCCAAAAACTGCATTTCAGACAGTGGACCTTGGCAATACGTCTATCCTTCCTGCAGTGCGCTGTGGCCAAGAGATGGTAAAGAAGAGAGCAAGCAGGACAGACAGTCGCTGTGTTGTGTTATCTCTACCGGTGGGATTTGCCAAATGCCTTTATTAAAATAAACAACAAGCTAAGGTGGAGAGCAACTACACAGAGATATAACTAAGGCTGTAATGCTACAATTTATGGTAAGATACAGATAAGTTGATGAGATAGTTCACTGTGTTTATGGTATTTATAACGGAGCATTTGCACAAGCTTAGAGAATGATGTATGACTTAGATTCTACTATAGTCATACGTCATCTTCCTGTTTTAGCAAGCACAAAATTAAGCTATTTGTCAACAAATATTTGGCGAACAGGGTAGTTAAACAACAGTGTCAGGACATGACTCAGTAAGATATGAAATATCATAAAAATGCCAAAATACACGGGGGGGGGGGGGGGCCTTAAGAGCTCAACTACTCAACTCAATCTACTTCCTGATTAATTTGGGATTCACTCTAATTTTCCCATAACTAAACCTTGACTCTCTGCCCACAAAAACAGAGGCTCAGCCCAGCAGCTCTGCTAAATTGGCCCGTATTTAGAATCATCATCCATCACATATGGACACATTCTTGTCAGGATATCTTTCATTGACTGACTCGGTTCTAGTAAGCCGTACTGACATGAATGGAGGAGGAGCACTATTGCCAGAGTGCTACTATGCACTGCAAAGTTTTATCTCTCACCGTTTACATAAACAGGATGAGTCACAGCACATACTAATTAAAAAATTTAAAAAAAAATCAAACTATAGCCAGATAACATAAAACAGAAAGTAATCGAGTTGTAACCAGCAACACACATAAACATAAACTGTAAGTGTAATTGATTTTTCCTCATAATGAGGTTTTTCCAATCACCAGTTAGAGCACAACTCCGCAGCAGCTCACCTCCAACCACATAAATAACTGTTGATCACAGTGTAATTACTTTTGACGTATGCTCTTCATTCTCAATTCAGGCACCTTTTTTAAATCTCCTTACAGTCTGCCCTTGGGTCCAGGCCCAGACATTGGGCACCAGAGGGACCAACTGCAGGGGCCCTTTGTGTACACTAACCTCATTCATCCACGAAAAGGC